CTCGCGCAACCCCCACTTTCCTTGTCTTTCCTTCACCACGTGACGTATGTCACGTTCGTCATAGCCGAATAATTCCTCCCCTTCTGTTTCGAGGTCCATGAAATAAGAGTTGGGAAATTGTTCTTCTTGCTGCTCCATAAATCCCTCTCTGGTCTTGGTGGCGAATTTAAGCTCTAGCCTTTCCCAATCTTCTTTGCTCTTATCCTTGACTTGGCCCACAAATACTTGGAAGAAAGAGTTAGAGCCTAAATCAATATTAAGCCCTTTTATCTTCCTTTCAACTTCACTTGGGCTTGGCTCATTTAAGAGCCTACTGACTAACCCAAGAACTCCATGTAAGCCCGCTTCCTTCCAGCCCGAGTTGGGCTCAATATTCACTTGCAAATTAGATCCAATAAGAGAGCAAATTATTGGTCCAAGTCTCACTTGACTCGGGCCGCTTTGTTGATCAAGCCCAACAAACTTCTTTGTCTCTTCCCAGTCCTCAGGACATGGGCCTGCTCTGCTTGGCCCATTCGCATTAGAGATTCGCACCACTTGGTCCAAACGAGAGCGTTGGTGCGGCTGCTGCTGCTGCGCTTCCGGACCCAGCTTCTCGGCCCAACAAAATCAGCGACCCAAACAGTGTGGCCCAGAAACTCGAGATCGGCCCGCCCGACTCGCGGCTGCTGCTCCCCGACCCGGCCTGGTGACCTAGGGTTCTCGAGAGGGCCGCCGCCACCCTGCTCGGTGAACACGAGGCCAGCCCGACACCGCCGCCGTCTTCACCTTCTTCTTTTTCGGTGGCGCGCTCCTCCTCGGCGAACCGTCCGCCGTCGCCAACTCCGTCGCTTCCTCTTTCTTCGACGGAATCTTCAAGCGGCAGGAAGGCCTACTCGATCCGCCGCCCAATAGCTCCTTCTTCCTTGGCGAACCCTTCGCCTCCTTCTCCGGCAACGCGCAAACAACCCGGCTGCTAAGCTGCTGCCGCACTTCTGGCGCCGTCCTCCGACTCCTCTTCCTGCTGATCGACGACACGAGGAGAGCCACCGTCAAATCCTTCTGCTCATCCGCCTCCGCGTCGATCGACTTCTTCTTCCTCTCATTCTTCGACTCGATCCCCGGCGTCAAGCTCTTCGTCGCCTTCCTCATCGAAAGGCGGACACCACGACAACGTCGCTCAGCTTCGTGGCGTCAGTCGCGGCCGCACTCCGTCTCTGTCTTCTCGAAGGCTGACGTAGCCACAGCTGCGGCCGTCATCTTCTTCCGAAATCGCCAGTTCATCACGCGGCTCCGCCTTGTTCTCTGCTTATTTTCTTCATCCTTCTTCTGCCTCAGCGTCTCACATGATTGCGTGCTGGGGGTCTCGAGGACCACTGCCAGAGAAAGAACCTCGACGGTCGCCTCCACTCGACGTTCGGCCTGCTGTCCTTCTTCCGATTTTGGTTGTTGTTCGCCCCCGTTGATGGAGGTTTCGGCGTGTTCGGGAGTTGATTGAACCTCGACCGCCATTGCTCTTGTCGGCTCGTTTGCCAGGATACTCTTGGTGGTGTTGCGCGCAACGGCAACGGCGGGCAATGGTGGTGATGATGCAGGAGAGATAGCTGCTGCAGCAGCTGCTTTCTCGGCCTTCACAGCAGTGGTGGTGCCACCTCGCTTGAATTCGATTGGGAACGCAGGTTGTTCCAACCAATCTTCGAAATCCAATTCTGCAGTTGCGATCTCCGACAATGGCGGTGCATCTTCCTTCATCGACTCTTTTGGCGCGGTGGTTGCGGTTTTGTGTGGAGCAGTCTGCGCGATGTTCGCGGACAGCGGCAAGGACGAGGTCACCTCGTTCCTAGTCACTTCTTCCAGCTTCAACTTCAGAAGCTTTGTAAGTTCTTTGACGGAGAGCTCTTCTAAGTTGGTCAAAACCATGGTACGAGTGCCACAACTGGGCTCTGATACCAATTGTGAGAACCTCGCTTCTAGGGATTCTCGATACTGATCTTCGGCACTCGTGATAATTAGGGATTTAGCGTTTGAGAGAAAGAATTAGGGATTTAGATGAGGAAGAATAGAATTGGGAATCGGCCGAGGCCTTGGACTAGGATGAGACGAGAAATTAGGAGTTGAGAGGATAAACTAGGGTTTAGGAGATTCTTCTGAATATTGTTCTTGATTAATTATGACGTAAACCCAAAGTACATATTTATAGGGAAATACTAGAAAACCCTAATAATAATCCTAATACGACTAAATCTCTACTAACTATAATTATAATTATTCTACCTAATATAATAATAGAAACTCTAAATAAATGTGTTTCTGACAGGTTCCTTCAAGCATACCGAGAAGGCCTTCGCCTTTGATGAATATCGGAATTGAAACTTCCAGGCAACATAATTCTTGGAGTTCCAACGAATAGAGATTCCCTCGGAATGCTTAATTTGATAACATGATAACGAAGCGAATTTGATAACGAAACAAAATGAAAAGACAAGCACGATCAGTTTACGTTGTATCCATGATTGACAGGACTAGTCCATGTTAGAGATGAACCTCTCCGACTACTACTCGTATTGTCTTACGTCCAAAACAGAAGAAGGTGACAAATATATACAATGCAAGTTGCAGAATCCTTGATTGACAGGAGTAGTGGGCTCGAGCCAATATAGGGCAACGAGTATATGGCTTAACATTCTAGTCTTCTCTCCCGTCGAGATTTGATAACTTTTCATCACCTTCTATTGGGAAATTAAAGAACATCCTTACATCAGCCTTCCTTGATTGTACTTCTTTTCCGTTTCTAATCGCCATGCTTCAGTGATTTATTTTCACACGATATCATGTGTTTGGCTTTCCACTTTCCATTTTCGATTGTTGTGCATATTTTCAAAGTTAGTCCATTTTTTATGGGCTCTTCCCTTTGTTGGTGAATAAATTTCAGCACTCATGAAAAAAGCATGCCATTTGTATTGGTATTTGTCAAACATGTTATTCAGACCAATTACTACACAAATACAATCTGCTACAATACATGTTGTTTTGTTATGTGATTTGTACGAAATATCAAGTTTAGATAGATTATAAGTAATCGCATTGTTCATGTGGTATTTGCACTCATTTTTTTCTTTTACCAATTTATCCCTCTTAGCCCCGTTTGTTTATCACTTGGTTGGCGTGCGTGCATGCTTGGTCAACATGCATATGTTATGGTATTTATATGTAAATAGTTTTATTGTCGTTTTGATATATGGAACAAATTTTTTTTAGAGAACACATCAAACAAATGGAAAATATTAGACGAATCAACAATAATACGGGAACAAACGTTCTATTAAACGAATTTTATACGTACTTCTGCATTATAGAGGTAAACATATTTCTTGTAACTATGTTGTCAATACATATTGAGATTTTGTTAATGTTACGCATAATTAAAGTAGAAAGTGACAAAAAGTGGGACCAAAAGGAGTGGATAATTTGGGATTTAAAAAAAAATGAATCATAACATACTTGGAAAAGGCAAGGTTGTCAACCCCGATTAACTCGAACCTGGTGGGAAGAACAGTTTCCAAACACCCGTTGGAGAGTTCGCCTGTTTTAGTCAAACCCGCTTTGATCCGGTCACAACCCATCAAACCCGGGCAGTTAACCCGACAAGACTGGTCCGGGGTTGGAGACCACCCGGACATTGTTCATTGTCCGTGGAGCCGCACCCAGCAGCACCAGTGCATCACAAATCTTCTCCAGCCCACCAAGAGAAAAAAGAGGGACGAAAGGGACATGATCAAGATATACAATCTTAGGCAAGAGGTAAGGGAATGTTTTTTTTATTATTATTTCTTAATCCTGAAATTGGAGTCTTAACCACGTAAACCCGAGTTTATTTACAAAACAGACCATAGGACAATTATTGATTTGGTCCTCCAATTTTGTTTAAGTAACTCCAAATATACATCCCTTTTTACAAACGGGTTAGACAGGTCAATCCCGGATTGAACCACCAACCTGCCACCCAATCCTCTAGCCAGTACGACAGTCCAATATGGGTTAACAACCTTGAAAAAAAAGACAGTAATCTGTTATTTGAAAAATAAGAGTCTCTCTCATAGTATTTGTGAAATTTTCTATCCGGATAACCGATTAACCGAATAGGCTGTTACCGGTTACCAATTGGTTACCCATACTCGTTTGCCCATTTCTCGAACGCCGCCTTCGGCTCCGGACTTGACCGATAAGGAGAGAAACAAAGTCACTCGACTGGTAGGGAGAGGAACAAGGAGTCTCGAATATCCCCTGCAAGTAGGGCTGTTAATGAACCAAGCCGCTCATGAACGACTCGGTGTGCGACTCGAGAAAAACTCGTTCGACACTCGATTCGTTTTAATCGAGCCGGCTCACGAACAAGCTCGTTAACTAAAGGAGCCGAACTCGAGCCATACCATGTTCAGCTCGAAAGCTCGCGAACAAGCTCATTTAATGGTTTGATATAAAAAAAATTTAGAATTCATGGATTTTATGTATTGAAATTGAGATAAATATTGTCTTTTACTTTGCTAGACTTTGCTATAGGTTAGAATGTAATTTTGTGCACAGTTCTATGTCAATCTTGGGCTATTATGAACATTTTATGAGCTGAACTCGAATTTGGGTTCGTTAAGCTTATTTGACGAGCCGAGCTCGAGTCGAGCTCGAGCTTGCACATTAAAGCTCGTGACGAACACGAGCTGAGCTCGAGCCTGGAAATATATTAACGAGCCGAGCCCGAACTATGGCAAAGCTCGGCTCGACTCGGCTCATTAACAGCCCTACTTGCAAGTCACCGCCTTCGCTGCAGGCATCCTCTATGTTGAACATATCAGAGAATCCATCATCGGTGTCCGACGATAGCTTCCAAAGGTCGGAGGCGGATCCGTCGCCCTTCCCAATGTCATCGTTGTCATTGTTGTCGCCGATAGAAATAAGAGAAGAGGATTGTACTTTTTAGTAGAGATCGTTGAGACGTCGAATTCGTACGAGAAGAGGATTGGTGTTCCCGGTATTCCGAATAACAAGATAACCTGCTGTACCCTGATAATATTCGGTACCGCCAGCCCCAATCCCACTTCCAACTATCAGTACTACCATTTATCGGTGCAACCGATAACCGCCGATTACCCGTTCAATTACCAGTTTCACTACTAACCGAAATACCGATTACCACCAGGTAGATAGAGATATGACAGGAAAAAAAATAGTATTAAAATAAAGATGTAGCGGTGTTCCTTTCTTTATTGCAAATAATTTTTCATCCACTTTTTCCTTTTTTTTTCCTTTTTGCCAAGAATGAATAATAATGTTACACAACACATAGAGAACCCTTCTTTTACCCCCACACAAATCAAGCTATATCCTGTGAATTTTTATGGAATTTACAACATGTACAACTAGAATTAGAAGAAGCAAATCGACAGAGATTCTTGCCAAATGCAATGACCCTCTTCTCTTTCCCCTGGAATTCACATAAGTCAGTAGCCATTGATTGCCACACACTGGTTTGCAAAGCGATTTTTCGCTTGTGGCCTTCCCAATTAGTACACACCCCTCCCTCCCTCCACGTCCCTCCTCCGGTGGCCGACACTTCTCACAAATAGACAGAATGCGACTTTCATCAGCCAGCTATGGCACAACCGGAGGATGCTGACATTAACCTGTACGCAATAAGCAACACAACAGGGTTCGATCAGGTTATAGTAACTTCATGTTAGCCCAGATGGAGCAGTTGAATGTTCTATACAAGTTCTTTCTCTAATTGGTGTATCAAATGAAGAATGTCATAGGGACATTCATACGGTTACTCAGCTTGGTAATGACCTAACCAACTAAGTTTGAATGAGTTCTTTTACGGGCAGAAGAAAATGGCTCAACCAATCCGACAAAATTAACAGAAACCAAAATAGCCATAACCACTTCAACCAAGTTAGTTGAGACCTTCGTGATATCTGATAAATCTAGTAGAGATTACCAAAACATACCAACTAACTAAATAAGAATAACCAATCGTACTTGTTGAAAAGGTTATCATATCTGTTCGACGACCCATGCATGTAATGATCATAAGCAGAATATCTTGGTCATGCTTACTCATGCAATATGCATTCTAACTGATTATCATTGAGCATTCAATATTGAAAATTGCTTACCCTCCTCTGAGAAAGCAAAGACACCTCCGAGCATGTCATCATCATCGTCATCATCAGGCTTCTCCAATCCTTGAGGACTGGCATTGTTATCCGATGGATTGACGACTTTGCCCTTGTCGGATTCACAGCATTCAGAGAGGGCAGCAACTTTACAGTAGCCCTCCTGGAAAAGCTGTTCGAAATCTGGCGACTCATTCACCATCATTCCCTCGTCTATAATATTTGCACTCACATCAGAACGATTGGAGCTTGCATTTGAAGATTCACTGGTCAGAACACTATTTGTTGACCTGCCTTCATTTCCCATATTTCTTCCGGGAGAAGGCGAGCCATGGGTTAAGGATACTACATCGCTATGCACAGAGTTATTATTATCTTCTTCAGCAGGAGAGATACTCATTGGTGTTGGCTTAAAAGAAAGCAAGCCACTGTTATTGTCACTTGGGTTTTGATAAGCTAAGCCCGAAATCCCTCCTCTCCCGCCAAATTTTCCGGGATTATGTTGAGCAGATATATACAAGTTTGTTGATGACCCTGTCAGAAAACCAATAATGTCTGGAGTGAGCTGCAACGAAAAGGTTAATAAGCCATGCACAGTCCATATTTGACAAAAATGAATTACCGCCATTTGAGTTTGGGGCAGAGCTGGATGTAAACATCTTAGGCTGGAAGGCTGCAACAGATCCAGTAGACAGAGTAGATCTCTCCCTTCGAAGTTCCCTGCAGAGGGTGATGGAAAGGAATGGTTCCCAAAATAATTTAAGTAAGAGTTGTGTGGAAGAAAGAAACTCTGCTGCTCAGGATACATGTTCAAAGAGACCATACAGGATCATTTATGCCCTCTCAGGGACTTGCTTAAGAATAAGAAAGAGGTAAATACCATGAAATAAGGTTTGACCCTATTTATGGGTTATGGGGATTCCATAAATATTCCATTCCAAAAAAAAGAGCAAGTTCGAAACAATTGGGATTTTGTTTGAGATTGGATGCAGTTACTAATTCATGATCTGGCATGTACAAAATGAAAACTTCATTCTCGATTCTACTAGAATTTTTATGAAAGTCTTTCATTTGCTTCTCTTCGATGGAAGTTATCACTTGGAAAGCTGCTGTTAGCAAGAAAAGCTTAATCAGACACCAACTTCGGGGAGAAACGAAAAAAGTGGAAAAGGTACTCTACATTCCATCAATCTCAGAGCATTGAACAAGAAAAGAAAAAGATAAATCAAACATTCCATCACTCTCAGAGCATGGAAACACTAAGCTTAATCAAATACTAACTCAGGGAGAAGAGAAAGAGTGGAAAAGATTCTCTACATTCCATCAATCTCAGGGCACTGAACCAGAATTCAAAATACTGATTCCATTGCCATTTGCGAAAATCACAGATATAAAAGATGCAACTTCACAGATTAAGCAGAAGTTCAGATAAAAGATGACACCAATTTAGAGTAGGGAGAAGTTGGCAAACGAAACAACTAGAACAAGTAGAAGTGTGTTTTGGTAAATGTTAGATAAGGGCCTGTGTATAACATTTTGAAGTTGGTTCTTGATCAACTGGATATATCAATTGGTGCCTACTAGTTGATCACATATAAGCAAGTTAATAATGAGGAGAAAAAAATGCAAGATAAGAGAAGATGGGTACACACAATGAACAGTATCTAGGATGGTGTGTTGCAGAATGCAGTTGACACACAATGAACAATTATTTTCGGGGAAAAAAAAGAAGCAGATTTACCTGTCACTCCAATCAGCAATTCTATGAAAATGGTCAAAAACAGGTAACAAATCCTTCCGCCTGATTTCAACTTCCTGAACTTGAACCTTCTCTACAGCAATCTCTCCACCGGAGTGATCTTCAGCAACATTCTGCTCGTCGCCTTCAATGCCACTCATTGCATAGAAATACACCTATTTCAATGGTGAAGGAGTGTTCAAAAACCAGAACATCAAGACGCAGATTTTCCTCAACTATATCATAATCAAAATACCTTGGATTTCTGCCAGAGCGGTGTTCTCCAGGGACTCATCTGGACTTCAGCATTTGCAAGATACAAGTGAGACTGTTCATATGATTTCATCATATCCATATCAGAAGTGCGAACTTTTCCAGTCCCGTTATCTTCACAGTCAGAAGTATCCATTGTCATATCTGAATAGTCGTGTCTGGTGTGAGTAAGCCCACTGATATGCTCCTCTCTTTCTGGCCAATCTGCTCTTCTACAAACATCCCACCACTGAACCGATTCAGTTTTCACATGTAGTTCCTCATCTGGAGCCTGCAGAGAAGAACCCGAACCAATTCTTGGAGTAGCTTCACTAGGTTCTCCACCAAGTGAAGTCACCAACTTGTACTGAACCACATGTCCACATGGAGTATAAGCTAACAGGTGTTCCATGGCATCAACTTTTTTCAAATGAGAAGGCTGGGAATCTTGCGGCACGCAATTGTGGAAGACAGCAGCAACAGCACCAGATGGCATTGATGCTTTTCCTGCAGCAGATGATGCCGCATTGCTAACTGTGTTAAGCCAGCCAGAATGGTTATTCTTTATTCGAGCCACCACAGAGAGAGTAACAGACGATGGTGGAGATGCAGACATAGATTGCTGGTTCACCAGGAATGATGGGGTGGACCACCATGGTAGAGAAAAAACCGGTAATAGGATTGGCCCATCTACTTCGGAGTTTTTTATTTGGAGAACACTCTCGCCACCAAAAGGTGAAAGTGCAAATATGTGGCAGGTGCCCCTAGATGAAATTATGGCAACCCACTGACTATAACTGCTAAAGCAAATATCCTGGATCACCTGGGAATACCACAAATAAGCACACCATGAGATAACTAACCGCACTGTTCCTTGAGAATCAAGCTACCTCATTGACAAATCACAAGAAGAAAAGTTTATGTACCGCAGAAGTTATGCCCCTATGAAGCTTGTAAAGGTGCACATGAGAAGAACTCCAATTGTAATTCTTTGCACCAGAACCACCGTGAACAGAGGACGGCATGATCCGGAATATATTAATGTTGTTCCCATGAATTGATGCAGTAACCAAAAGCGTCCCACTCGGATCAAAGCATAGGGCAGATATGGGACTTGTATGAGCTCTAAATTGCGAAATCACAGCTCTGGAGTTGAAATCTTTCACAACAACCTGCAAAAATTGAAGTGAGATTTGAGTAAGCCTTGACTTATGCTTGATTAATAAAAGTAACTAGATATGCATAAAACTGTAGCTTGGAAATCCAGGAAAATCCCCCTACTACTGCTTAGTAAGTCTAGAAACTACATAACCTCTAAGCATCTTCTGGAAAAGTTCAGATTAAACACATGGGGGAAAGAAAGAAACAGCAAAACAAAAGCTCATAAACATGCAGTGAATCATCTTCCCTTTTCTTTTTTTTATTCTGGAATTGGAAAACAGATATATCAAAAGCCTGTCTGAGCTTATGAGAACTGACCATTCCAGCAGTATCAGCATCTGCAGAATGAGCTGCAACTCGTCCAACTTTCCAACTAGAATTTGGAGAGACAGGTGAACCAGAACCATCAGCGATAAAATCTTGACAGTATCGAGACAAAGTCTTGTAGCCCATATCACCCAAACTCATCAATCCGGTAGCTAACTGTTTGCTCGATTCCATAGCATAACGAGCAACTAAATTGCCACTGCCTGGTGAAGTTGATGGACTTACACCCATAGGAGGTGTAGGACTTTGTGGACTTAGGCGACCAGTATTTGATACCAATGGATTGTCAGAAGCATAAGCTAACCACCTCGGACCCACTGCCATTGGCCCATAACCAGTATTTGCCCCAATCCCTCCTTGGACCGCCAGTTGAGGGACAGGATATGTGAGCACACTAAACTTGTTCTCTAGAGTGAGAGCATCAAAGCAGTATATCTGCAGTAGAATGTTAAAACAAATTACAAGCTTTGAAAAAATACTAAGGAGGTGCACCTTCGAGATAACCATAAAGAATTGAGTGTAAGCTCTTCATACCTGTGTAGCGAGGCCCACCGCCACTATCTGAGGGCTGCATCTAACCATAAAAACTGGGGAACGGAACCTTAGAACATGAACATAGTTGTGCGATTTCAGAGAATAAAAACGAACAATAGTGGGAGAGAGGGCAAAGCCTCCTGCTTGATTCTCATTGAAGCCATCTCTGATCAATCCATCTCTCCCATTGATAACAACTGATGGGCTTTTAGTTTCATCGCAAGCAACTACTAGGAGCAAAGGATGTGCAGCTCTGTATCCTTCACAACCCTCAGCCTTAGCAGGGAGTGGCTGCATACGTAAAAATGTGACCAGATCATCCCGTCTTGAAACGAGCTCAGTCACACCAGAGGCATCTTCAACATCGATCACTTGGAAACCATTGGAGTACCCAAGTAAGAGCACATTTCGGAAGGAGGATGGACTAAGCTGTAGCTTGTCAAATGAGGCCCACAGCACCTGTTCACACCAATGGAGGAGGGTACAACTTATGTCAACCATTAATCAACGTGGTCATCTAGTAATGAGCAGCAACATCAAACCAGAAATGAAAATGTTCACAATTAACCATTACGGCACTCATGACTCGAAAGCATCAACCTAGCTCCCCATTAGGAAGCAAGTTTTTTATATCCCATTCTTCTGCAAACCCTCTCTTTACCATACATTACTAAGCACACTGCTACAAAGAATCAATCAAAAGAGTTATACATTAACAAAAAAAGTTCACAACTCTCTGTCCGAAAACAAAAAAACTCGCCAAGAAGGGACATCAAGTTTTGACCCAGCAATATCCACAACCCAGCTGGATGCCTTCTAAATCACAAATACGAACAGAGCGAATAACTGCTATGAAATCCCACCAGCTAAATTATCTATCACTTTTTCTTCAAACCCTCCCCAATGTCAAGATATCATCATCTTGATCAAATGAAGTCGTCAAGTGGCAACCCTTTTGCGGGGTGGATAAAAGTTGCATAAAAAGCAAGATCAGCAGAAATTGAAACCGGTACCCAAAGACAGATAAAAGGAAAAATAAGACCCTTCCACTACCCAGAAACCATCTTAGTCCTCCTACGCCATAAATAACAGTCCCATTCAGTCCACAAACTCTACATTCACAAAGCGCAAGAGACAAAGAAACCCCAAAACAAGTAAAATGAATCTCCCAATTCCCAAATCTTCCCCACTCCCCAACTTTCCCAGCATCCAAACAAATCAGTTCGATTCGCCGCCCAATCCACGACAATCCAAATAATCTCAGAGTTTCCATTTCTAACCCAGCCAGACTTTGAACAAACAAAGAAGACAACAGAAAAAAGAGAGGGAACAAACCTGGTCTCTATCCCCGCTTTGATTATCGCCGGAGATCGATGCGGCAACCGAGGCACTAGCTGAGCGGACACCGGAGGAAGCAGTCTTGATACACGACGAAATGAATTTCAGAGAGTTGGGAAGGAAGCCATGAGTGGTGTTTGTAGTGTTCTTGCTGCTGTTGCTTCCTTTGCTGTTGTTCTTCATAATAATCGGGGGAGAAGGAAGTGTTAAATTCCACCGGTCACCGGGAAGAAGGAAAGTCCGTCGCCCGCCAGCAGCAGCAGCAAGCAGCGATCGATCGGCAATAGCATATAGATAGATTGGGAAAGAGAAGTTTTCCCGGCGAGAAATTGGGGAGGGAAGGGGGATTTTGGGCGGTCGGCGAGAAATTGAATTCGGCGGTGTTTGGTGGTAGTTTTGACTCTGTAGAGAGAGGAGGAAGAAGAAGAAGAAGAAGAAGAGGAAGGGGAAACGGTTCCTTGCTTTTGTATTGTGTTTGCTTGTAGCCAGCAAATTTGTTTCTTTTATTTTTTTCATTGTTAGTTATTTATTTTTCATTTTTTGATAGTGTACAAATAAACCAAAGTATTTTGTTTTTGGTAAGCTTAATAGTTAAATACTTAAATTAAATGCGTTTGCTTTGGGGGGTTCGGAGTCGTGCGAGATTGGAGCAGTTTTAGTTTTAATTGGATTGCGGTGTAAGCCAAAAAAATAAGAAGTGTCAAAACGATCCCCGGATTTCAATTAAATGTCAACATGGTGGACATAAAATAACGAAATATATACACCGCTCCTCATTAAAAAAAAAAAAAGAGATTATAAGCAAATTTATTGTTGGCAATAAAATTAGCCTTGTGATTTTGAGTAAGCGGTAAAACATGTGATGGAAACATGATTCAGTATGTGGAGAATATCCTTCATATGAAGGAATATAAATTTTGTACTACCAAAGTCGAGCGACATAAGAAATGGTGGAAGGGGATCAGAAACTTCAAGTTATGGAATCAGACATGTGTAGTTCGTCATATCTGGAACTTGTTAGCTGGAGCTAGGTCATTATAAGTTGCATGGTTGAAGAAGTAGTCGTCATATTTTAAAATTGTTAGCTGGAGCTAGGTCATTATCGATTTTATGGTGAAGAAATACAGGCTGAAGTAGAAAGCAATCGGGGATCTTCAGTTAAGTTAACAACAACCTGGATATGGATAATAATACTACAGTGTAGAGGAGGCCTCTAAGCCACATCTTTCCCGCAATGACTCAATGACTCCCATCTGGTATGGGATGGTAAAATTTTATCTAAGTATTCTATAAAAACAGTATGAAAATCCATACGAGTCCCCAACCCTCCAGAAGATTAGTCTCGGGTTGTGTGGGGAGGCCTTTTAGCGCTAAACATAGCATGTCATTATGGTTAGTTGTTATGAACAGAATCACAACAAAAGACAAGCGAGTGTCTTGGGGGATATCAGTTGAGAATGCTTGTTTTCTTTCTCCAGGTGGAGAAGAACCAAAGAGATCACTTATTTTGTCATTGCCCCATATCCAATGTTATGAGGAAGTTCTATCGATTCCCAAAATTTGCCACACGGTCTCCTTATTGAACCGGGTTGTTTGACAATGGTTGGGGGTCACAATATGTTAGTAGCAGAAAGTAGAGTATTTTTGGTCATTATGTATAAGGTATGTTTTGGAGAGAAAGATGTAGTAGAGGTTATGGAAATGCTTACATCTATACCTCAATGCAGCTTGCTGAGAGAACTGAGAATGAAGTTAAGTTGTTGTTGGTAACTAGACTGCGATCGTGAAGTTAAATTGTACCATAGTATTACACAGTTATAGATAGCAACTCTCAAGTTTTTGTAAGTTGCTGATTGTTTTGATTTCACACTGGTTGTAGTTGAGAAGGAGTTTTGCAAGTTGCAGCTCCCATGCTTAATGCAAATTTTTTATTAACCATAAAAAATATAAATTCATTGCAAATTTATAGAGTAGAGCAATTTGATCAAAAAGATTTTTACTTTACCAACAATTACTGGTACACAAAAGAATGATGTTAGTGTTATCGTGATTTGTCTTTCTGGTAATAAGGAGCAAGTTAGGTGTCATTTTTCAGATTCATAATCTCAAATTGTAAAATTTGACAACATGCAGTACTGGTTACATGTAATTTAACCGTTTATTCAAAACAAAAGGTGTTGTATACGAGAAGTCTACATCTAAAGTATATTGATTGATCAAAACTACATCCAAATCTGAAATCCCAATAATTTGAATTTATTAAAACAACTGCGCTATTTCAAATTCATTAATAGCATGCATCCAAATTATAATAAGTGAGTAAGTAATTTATTTAATTCAGCTCATGAATTTTGGAAGTAGATGAATTCTCAAGGTTTTGGGGTTCCAAAGTCGGCCCTTGAGGGGAATATTTGCTGTGCTCAAATGGAATATGTATTGCAAGTTTATATTACCAAAACTTGGTGAACGTAGGATGGTCATCATTGTCATCGATTAGGATACCAAAAGAAGCTAGAAGTTATCGAGGATGACTTACCAATCAAAGGAATTACTTTATTATACTTTAGGATAGTTTACATATATTATTATGGCCAACCAACGAAATTATTATATAACTCTCTCAAAGTAAAAAAACAATTATATCGGTACCTTAGGCTTTATAGTCATGTTCACTCCAAAAAGAGTTTGTAACTTTATATTCGTATATTGAGGGACGGAGTAAGAAATTTAAATGGGGTCGATAAAAGAAATACAAGAAAGATCAAGTACAGCGTTAGTGTTTGAAACTACTATATATTAATTGATCATGTGAGTTGAATTTCATATTAGAGACCAAGTAGTACGATTTATCATTATTCTTCACTGATTTACCATAATAATTTGAATAATTAACTTTACTAGTTTAATGTATGATATTGTTTTACGAACTCGTGAAATTGATAATATTTGTTCATCTACTTTGAATATAGGAATGATAAAGCCTATCATATTAAGATCCTAGAATTATCTCAATCTTACCTATAAAAATGTGTCATATTTATCTTCATATGCGTCCTTGATATATAGTTTTAATTATATTATTTTCACATTACTAGGTTAATGAATATTTGGTGAGAGTTATTTATGGTACATCCTAATTAAATTAAATTTTAGGTGCATAAAAAAACTTCTTATTCTTATATAGATTAAGAAATCATTTTCAAATTTAAAAATGAATTGACAATATTTACAAATAAATCATTGTGAACTCGAACGCAAATAATCTTACAAGGGAAGGGCTAAAAAGAAAAATAAGAGGAAGGACTAAAAAGCAACATAGTGAAAAAGTGGGGAAAAATTGCTTAACCCAAGGTGTCAAACTCCACACCTCCACAAGAATATTGATCTCATCAACAACTTCAACTAGTAGACTAAAAACCAAGCATTGTTACATAAGTATTCAACGCAAGAATTTTATAATCTTTCCATAAGGTTGGATTCATCCCCGATCCTTATAACATAAAAGAATCTCGACCATAAATAGTGTTTGGAGTAATTTAATTGTTAATTTTTCAAGTAAATCGAATTTTATACATTAGAAAAAATGAATTGAAAACTACAATGGATATCGAGTTCCACAAACTACAATTGGTAATTAAATGACAGAGGGGTCGTTTGGAAGTTGCGATTGTTAAATAGATGTATTGTTGAGAATGCATGTATAATATTATACATGTATTGTCGAATTTGATGCATTGTAGAATACAACGTTTGGTATGTGTGATTGTGTATGTCGCATTAGCTAAAAGCTGAGACAAAACAATCTCAACTCAACTATCTCAACAATCACAACTAAAAGTTGAGATATAACAATCACTCAAAATGAGTGATAGTTTCTGTCACATCACAGAAACAATACATGTATTGTTTCTGCTAAAAAAACAATGCATTGTAAACAATACATGCATAATGACGATCTCAACAAAACAATCGCAACTTCCAAACGACCATAACCACAAGATTGGCTGCTTGAGTTGTGATCTGAGCGGACCGCGATCGACCAACTAAAAAAAATCTCAAATTGTGTTTAGTGGTCTTTTGACATTGAGCAATGTGTGAATTGCATATTAAAGTATTGTATTCACACACACAAAAATCTCTTTTCAAGTAAATATCATCATATTAGGGCTGCCAATGGGTCGGGTCGGGGCGGATAGTGCATATTCGTTACCCTACTCAAAGTAGTTCGAGTTTTACTCATACCCATACCCACATTAGAAATGAGTAGAAAATCAAAACCATGCCCATACCCGTTCGGGTTTCGGGTATCCACAGTTATCCATGGGTAATAATTTCTCTTCATAACTCCAACCAATATATTAACATTCACATGTATTCTCAATTACGTAAGAGGAAAAGTACAACAATAATTCACTTGAATGAAGAAAATTAATTAAAACAACACAATTCAGTAAACTATTATATTCATATGCTAAATATAAAATATGTTGGAGAAAAATAATGATTATTTCTAGGCAAACTACATATGCATGTGTATAATCGGACGGATTCGGGTTGGATAGTGAGAAACCCATGCCTACGCATTACCTGCAATATTCGGGTTCAGGTTCTACCCATACCCACTAAAAGTCCTTCGAATTCGGATTTTACTCTACCGATCAGGTCGAATTCGAACGGATATCCACGATTATGGATAGTTTTGCCATCCCTACATCATATCATATGAACATATTAATGCTTTATTTTTCCTCCACTCGATAATAATAAATAGCTAAACCAATTTATGTATATCTTTTTGGTTAAAGAGTACATCGATAATGATGTATAAATCTCTAAGTGTTCCTTGCCTTGATACACAAGCTAAGGTAAGCTTGTCTTGACAATGGAAGTAGTTCCTCTCGCCATCACTTTTGCCCTAATACAGCTGCGACCAACCATGTTTGTTCATGTTATCATTTAGTCGTTTGGATGTAGAATTTGAGTAGGTTATTTGTAAGTTATTTGAGTTCAAACACAAATAACGCATTTGGCAGTATTTTATTGAAATGGATTATTTAGACAGTGAGTTATTTACAAATAACTAAAAGTGAGTTATTTACGGGTTCGTTTGGATGGGTTAATTGTCAATGTGGTATTTGTAGAGTCAAATAACTCATTTATTGTCATGTGGTATTTCAGTGTTATTTTAGTGGTAATTGAAATAAAGTATCTCGTTTTGTTGAACCATTTGCAAATGTGGTATTTGACATGTGGTATTTGGTAAAAGCAGAGTGATAAAACGAGTTATTTCGAAATAACACATGAGTATAAGTTATTTGTAATAACTCGTTTTTGAGTTATTTGTAAATAACTCACTGTCCAAATAACTCATTTAAGTAAAACGCTGCCAAACGAATTATTTGAAATAAGTCATTTTACCATTTTAATTTTGCCAAATACCACATGTCAAATATCACATGTGCATGATTTTACCAAACGAGATACTTTAATCCAATTAATACCGAAGTAACACTCAAATACCACATGAATAATTAATGAGTTGTTTGACTCTATAAATACCACATTGACAATTAATCCATCCACTTTTTTGTTTCTTTTTGTTTCTAGACAATTGTGTTAATTAAACATAAGTATTAAGGAGTTATTTACAATAAACGAAGGTCAATTGTTAATTAATTCTATTAGTCTTTTTATTGTTATATTATTATATATAATAACAACTCTCCAAACAATTGAAGACAGCCGTTGATTAGTAATAATTAAACTGGCTAGTTAAAACTTTTGTACTACCCAGCAACCTGTTTTTGATTTCTTGGGGGTCCATCAACTGGTAGTCGAAATCATAACCAAGTGGGTGGAATTGGAAATTATGAATATACCAGACGGGGAGAGTATGCGTAAGAATTGGAACAATATGAAGGGAAGGGAAGGGAAGAAAATCACAAAATTTATAGGTAAACAACGTAGAAAAGGCAAAAGTTTTAGGAGTGTAAATGTGTAATGTAATTGGAGTTGATAAACGTAGGAAAGTTTGGTTACGCTACGACTGGCCGCCGAGGCATGAAGGAATATCTTCTTCACCCAAAGATGCCATTTGCCATAGTTCGTCGACCTTAATGTGGCCCATATGCTTCTTGATTATTTTTCCTTTTATGTGGTCGGTGATTAAAAAAGGTTTTGGCTAGTGGAATATTATTATTATTATGCTCTTTGGTAACTGTTGGTATTGTCCTCATTATAATTCGATTATTGGAATTTTTTTTTTAAAATGAGAAAGTGATTAAGAAAGTTCACACAATACAAAACTAGGGGGAAAAAAATGAATTTGCCCAAACTTGGGCTCAATTGATACTTTCATCAGCTATTTGTTCCCGAAATTGTTGAAGACTTGTTATGATCTTATTGTAAATCGCTCTAATCTTGAAAGATTTAGGAAGTGGATCATTGCCGAAAGCAACAATCAAGGCAAAACACAATGATCTGAAGCGAACAACCTTAATTGCTTTTAAGAACAATGTTTATAAGAAAACAACTCCTCGCTTCCTCTCCGTTCTCTCAATCTCTTGAACTTCCTTCTTCTTTCCCTCCACCATTCTACATGCAATCTTTTCATTCCATTTTGTCACCAAGTACCAACCGACATCCATAAGGTAAAAAAAAAATATTTTGGTCTAGAATTTAGATTGCAGGTTAAATTAGGGTTTACAATTTAGATTGCAGGTTAAATGTCATATACGAGAAGACTTCATAAAATTTCAACTAATTATTCAGTGGAATGGTCGAATGACAAACTACCATTATGAGCTTGATTATGAAGACGTTGAATCCACTACTCTAATGATTGACAACATATTCACGTAACCTCTCCCAAATTTGTGAGGAACGAGCTAGCATATTGGGGGGGGGGGGTCATCGGAGAGTGTAAAATGACTTATTGATTGCCAACTTGACTCGCAAACTGAAATCTAAGGGCCCGTTTAGTATTGTTGCTTGTTTTTGTTTCCTGTTGTGTTTTACGAAATTTGGAAAACCAAGAAAAAAAATCGTGTTTAGTTGGGTTTTTATTTTTTGTTGTGAATCAGAGTTGCACAACAAGGCCCAAATATGAGAAACAACAATTTATAGCTTTGGATCTGATTCTTAAACATGTTGCACACGGGTTTCCTACTGGTTGTGGTCTTGATTTCATTAAAACAGACCACTTTTCGAATCCCCACAGAAGCAAAAAATTTTCTTTTTTTTTTAACCCATCACCCCCAAAACCCTACTTCAGCCGCCCCCATTTTCCATCTTCTTCTCGCAGTCCCCAACCAAACTCTTCCGCCCCAACCTTTCTTCTCGCAGGCGCAGGTCGCGCGCCCCCCCACCTCCGGCCAGCGGCGCCTCGCCACAGCCGGCCGCCCTGCCTCCGCCCGCCCAGCGCCGCCCAGCCGCCTGCCTCCGCCAGCCCAGCGCCGCCCAGCCGCCTCGCCTCCGCCCGCCCAGCCGCCTGGCCTCCGCCCGCCGCTGCCCGTGCAACAGTCGCCGCCGCCCTGCCTCCGCCGCCATTCCGCCGGCCGCCGACCATCTCCCCGCAGCAGGTAAAACAGACCCGTCCTTAAATGTATTATTATGTTAATATTGTTGCTTCTGAATATGTTCTTGAATTATGGTATGTATATAGTGATTGCTAGATTAGTTGTTTGTGAATTTGGATTGATTGCTATGTTTTTTGTGAATTTGGATTGATTGCTATGTTCTTTGTTTTGTGGTTTACCTCAGTTATGGAGAAAATTGTTGAAAATGGTGATGTTGATTGTGTGGAGATTCAGAAAAATGATAATGGGGAGAGGGATGATAGCAAAATATGGGGTGATAAAGCTGAATCTGTGTTCATTGATCTTTTGGTGGAAGAAGTTAAAAAGGGAAATCGTGTTACTTCAACCTTTTCACCAACTGGATTCGCCAATCTCATTGCTGGTTTGAAAGAGCGGTTGAAAAGAGACTATACTAAGACTCAAGTGAAGAATAAGTTTAATGGGTTAAGGGGTAGACTCAGATCTTTCAAGACATTGCTTAGTCATACTGGAGTGGGATATGAAGCTTCAACTGGTTTTGTTAGTGCAGAAGAACATGTTTGGGAAAGTGCTATCAAGGTAATAAATCAATCTCTTTTCAATAATAATAATACTAATTAAAATGAATGTTAAAAACTCATTTTACTTAACTTGAAATGATTTTATTAATGAGTGTAGGGTTCAAAGTTGCATCTTAGATTCCGAAAGCATGGATGTCCTGAATATGACAAGTTGTGCTACATATTTGGTGACACTACTGCTTCTGGAAATAATGCTCGTCCTTCAACCAAAGCTACTTCTAGTAGTAATGAGGAAGAGTTGGCTACAACCAAAAGTGTTGAGGTAACTAATCTTGATGGTGAAGAGGAAGAAACTGGTGCAACTCCTGTTGTTGAAAAGGAGGATAAGAACAAAAACAAAGGCAAGGGGAAAAAAAGAAAGCGAGATAAGATTAGCTATGCTGAGTCCATAGGAACATTGTTGTCATCCATGGTTGAGCGAGAGAAAATGAAAGTTGAGCGTGAGGCACAAAAGATGGCTTCTTCATCTGTGGGAGGAGGTGAAGTCTCCTCCAAGCCAAGTGATGATGGGCAACTTATGGAGTGTGTCAAGCTTTTGGATGAGATGAAAGTTAATGGTGCCTTGTTTGCATCAGCTGTGAAGTGTCTCCATGATTCTAAAGAATATCAAAATGTGTTCTTGAATGTGTCCGAAGAGAGGAGGCGTGATTTGTTGCAGCTTTGGATGTGATGGATGCTTTGACTGTTTTGTTATGTTTAAAACTCTCTCGTTCTGTACTATTTTGGAGTGTTATCATTTGGTTTGAAGTTGGTTTGTAATGAATATTTGTATGAATGTTGGATTTGATTATGATGTGTAATGAATGTGTTGTGATGTTTTTTATATGGATGTTCATTACTTTACTTTGTATACACAGATAAATGGCTACTTTTTCAGATTCATCATCAGACTCTGATGACGATAAATTAGTAGTAATAATGCTAGCATTGATGGAGGAGGAGAGGAGGAAGTCGTCTTCTAAAACTCCTTGTAGAACATCAGATAAGAGAGGACATGATTGGGTGCAAGAGATTCTCCGTGGGCATCCAATTCGAATATATGAGCAGTTAAGGATGGATAAAAGGACATTTGTTTCTCTATGTGAGGAACTAAAACGATATGGAGGGTTGGAATCAACAAAGAATGTGACAGTTGAAGAACAAGTTGCAATATTCATGAAAGTTGTTGGACACTCATGGACCACTAGAGATGGCGCAGAAAGGTTCCAACATTCCACAGCCACTATATCAAAGTACTTTGGCATAGTGTTGAAAGCAGTCAATAAAATTGCAGTAAGGCTCATTAAACCACCAGATATGGGTGTGGTTCCAAATCCCTTATCGAGGACGAAAAGCAAAAACAACACAAAATGTTTTGTGTGTTTGCTCTTTTGATATGCTATTTACTTATGTAATAGCAGGATGGGAAGGCACTGCGAATGATGCTAGAATACTAATGGAGACAATTGCAAATCCAGATAATGATTTTCCAATGCCACCAAAAGGTATGATATCTACATTTCATTCATTTATTAATACAATATGAGTGATAATGAGATCTTATTGGTTTATTTTCAAACATATTCATTTAGGTAAATATTATCTTGTGGACTCTGGATTTCAAAATATCCCTGGATTTCTAGCACCATTTCGAGGAGCTACCCGTCATTTTCAAGAGATGAGGCGTAGAGGCGGACCAAGAGGGCGTAAAGAATTATTCAACTTCCGGCATTCAAGTCTGCGTAATGTGATTGAGCGTTGCTTCGGAGTTTTAAAGGCAAGGTTTCCGATTCTAAAGTTCATGCGGTCGTATAGCTTGAGGAAGCAAACAAGTATTGTCATTGCTTGTTGCGCCTTACATAATTTCATCAAGATTCATGCCGAAGATGATAAACTATTTCATGAATATGAAAATTATGAAGATGAAGAAGGTTCGACTTCTGGGGTTGAACTACCACTCACTGAGTTCAACGTCAGCTATGCAGCAACACGTGAGATGACCGAGAAGCGTGATGCCATTGCTAACCAGTTATGGAGTGATAATCATGTTTAGTATTATTTTTTATGTAAGGAACATGAAAGATGTTAGACAAATTGAATTTTGTGAGACTTTGCTTAATATTGAGGACATATCTCTTTTTCCTGGTTTTTAGTTCTTATAGTAGTAGCTAAACGCGTTTTTGTTTCTTGTTTTCAGTTTTCATGATTTATCAGATTTATCAACTAAACAGGTTTTTGTTTTCTGTTTTTTTCCTGTTGTGGTTGTACATCTGTTTACAAAACACCACTGCAACCACAACAACAACAAAATGATACTAAACGGGCCCTAAGGAAGCAAGTAAATTGATTCGAATTTTCAAATATGAGAAAGGTCACTCGAATATGCTTTCCTCTAGTCTTTAGTCAAGTCAATGTTGTTTACTCCATAATTCATTTCATTGAAAGTTTATACTAAGAAGAATTCGGAATTAGCCTTGCCACTAAACTAAACTAAACTAAACAAGGCCCTCTTCAATAAACTGCTCAGCAGAACACTATCCTCATTGAAGCAAAATATCAAGGCAATGAAAACTAGACTCCCTCTAGATTGCAATCCAGCACAAAGCAGTGCATTGATCCGCTCTCGTGTAACCGCTTCACCACTTTCAAATGGTTGATGCTCTCTTAACCTATTATAGGAATTTGATAAGGATTGAGGCAACTCATGAAAAATGCATTAATTGGATATATAACTTCGAGTTCACAATCCAAGGTTCAAAAAAACATCGAACCTAACATCAAATATAGAGTTTGAAAACGAAGTTTACTCCATAGAGAGAGAGAGAGAGAGAGAGAGAGAGAGAGAGAGAAACAGTGTGGAAGGAAGTCATTATCGTGTAGACAATGAGAATCTGCTTTGGAATGTCAATCTTCAGTCCTAGGGACGGAACTCGAGCTCCAATGGTGGAAGATTGTCTCAAATCAACTCCAAGGATGCTCACTTCGTCACTTCTCCCTCTAGGGCTCTTCTAGCTTGTTTTTCGGATAAAAAACTAAAATCCGTCTTCAGAAAGCTAGTCAAAACCCTTTTTGTTAGTCCCCAAGCAAACTTGCCTCAAACCAATGCAGTTCACTAGACTCCCACATTAGCATGCAACTTCGATCGTCGGTAGCGGGTGACTCGTCCCGAATATCACAATAAAAATCTCAATCAAGGCCCAAGTATAAACCTTAACCAGGTGCAATGTAGGGCAAGTATGTTTTAAAAGTCAAACCCGGGCCGGTCCATGTACCCCTACTTTGATTGTTTGAAACATTATCTAGCAAACAGTTTTTGGTTGAAACTACGGATTAAAACTAAAGCGATTGGAAAAGTAAATAGTGTGAACACTAATTGAGAAGGCTTCACTCGAGTGTTGTCCCCCCCAGCTACATATAAAGGTAAGTTAAAATGAATGAAAGTGCTTGGTAAAGGTGGTTGCTAACCGTAGGGAAGCACAACAAGTGAATCGGGTTTACTCTCTTGATCAATTGGCTAAGGGACTACAAGTCAAGTTACCTAGGTAACTCTCTTAGCCAACCGTCTAAGGGTTGTCAAGGCTTCACCCTTGAACCTAGGTTCGGACGGCTAAATCGCAACCCACACAAGGTGCTTAAACATAACAAGAGGTGTACCCTAATTTGCCTTGGATATGTGGTTCAATAAGGCCAAGGAAACCCAGTTTTTGAAAGCCTCTTAGCAAGAAGGGGGTTTTCCTCTACCTAGGTCAAATTGGCAAAGTAGTTGGAAATGGAAAACACAACACAACATCCATGAAAATACCTATATACTTGCATTCAAACACAACCATACACAAATCATTCAATTCATACAAGCTTTCGCATGTTTCTAGCTAGGGTTCACAAACACCCAAGTGAAATATGAAGGACTTCTCCATGCTAGGTAGAAGGAATACACAAAGGAAAGAAGAGAAAACCATCTTGGAGATGAATGTTTTCTTCTTTTTGTGCGTAGATCAACCTTGAAGGTGAAAATTCCCAAAACCTTGAGCTTGGGTGAAACCATAGCCTCCTTCCTCTTCCTTGCTCGTCACTTTCTCTCTCTAGAAGTCTTGAAAAATAAGAAATTCTCTTACTAGGATCCCCCTTTCTTCCTTCAGCTCAACTCTCTTTAAATACCTAGATCGCAGATGATGACTCGATATTTGCACATGTTTTCCCCTTTGTTTCTTGATCGTTTAAGCTTGCATTATCGCTTATTTGGCCTATTTTACGCTAGGTTGTGTTCCTTTGTCACATTTCAGGTCCTAGCACATAAAGTGAAGCGTAGGCGCAAGTTTCAAGTCAATCGGAGATCAATTGGCGACTCGGGGGAAGAAACTCGGGTATGACCTGAAGAAGAATGGATTTCTACCTCAGTTTGTGATCATATAATCATGTAATCTTGTCATGAAAAGAAATAGGACGAGACTACGAGCGTCTGGGATCAAACGACACCTGATTTGGAGTCCGAACGAGGGAGAAACGAAGAATCAAAGATAGGGGACCCGGAACTGCAAAATACCTGACCGGTATTTTAACCATCTGATAGGGGATTTTTGACAGCATCAGAAGGCCCCCCGGTCGTGAACCAAAAATACCCGATCGGTACTAAAAATACCCGACCGGGTATTTTCCATTTTGCCCAGAAGAGTGACCCGGAGCATTTTGTTGATACCCGACCGGTTCCCAAAATACCCGACCGGGTATTCTGACCGGGGATCGCGAACGCAGACTGTTAAAAGCCTGTTTTGTGCGTTTTGCAAGGGAGAGATGGGTTTTGGATCCCAAACACCCAAGGGACGAACCATAGAAAGAGAGGGCGATTTGAGGGCATTCTAAGAGTGGAATTGGAGGATTTCTTCGCCTTGGAAGCTCGAGGAACAAGCCCGGACTTGAAGACTGATCATCTGAAGATTCTTACTGCAGCCTCTCTCTTCTCTATGGAGTAACTTCCCTTCACTTAGGTTTTGAGGAACCCTAGCCATGTTTGTTTGATTGGATGATTGTATGAGTACTCTTACTTGATAATCTTGAGTTCATATTCAATCTATGCATGTTTTCTTGATTCAATTCTGCTTTAGTCGAGATTATTGATTCTGCTTTGATCCTATGAGAGCGAATACCTGATTAGGTCAATAGAGCACCATAGATTGATAGTATTGGATCGATTGCTTTAGTCGAGGGTTGATTCAATGCTTTGTATCGATTGAGAACCTCATTTGATAGAGGGAATCTAGTTCAGAACGCCTTGATCGGTTGTTCTAGAGAAGGATACGTCCCTCTAGGCAATTGACTCAAGAGGGCCTTGTTCCTTTAGTCGAGACTCAAGGTCTAGTCAAGGATTCTCCGCATTGTGAATGAAAGTGAAACAGGTTAGAGATCATCAATCATTAATCTGGCTAGTGGCTAGGGGGAATCATACCTAAGTGAGTTCCCAACCTGTAATTAGATTAACTTTAACTGTAGTTTGCTAGAGTAGTTTTAGTTCTTTCATCTTAATCTGGTTTGCTAGATAATGAACTGAAGCTGAGTAATAGTAACTCTAGAGACCCGTGGATTCGATATTTATTACTTGAGCCACTATACTGCAGTCCCTTTCATTGGTTACACTTGGTCATTGTTAGGTGTTGTTTCATAGCGAGTCAGCAGACTTTTCATGGTCCCAGTTCACTGTCGTGAACATTATCTAGGGACCGTGATCTCAAGCAAAAGTGCACCGTTTAATTAATGCACTACACGGTCCAAGACAAGTTTTCACGGTCTAGCGACCTTGAACTAGTCGAGGTCCAGTGAGGTGCTCAATACTCTCTGGAACCATGGCTCTTCACGGTCTGGGCGACATCTTCACGGTCCAGACGACCGTGAACTCTTGGCTTTCAGCGTGAACTGCGGCTGTCCTCCCCTCTTGGTTGTTCATTGCAACACTATCTCGTGACCAGAGCAGAAGTGACAACCACTGAAAGAAGTGTAAGTGAGGATGGAGAGTAGTATGTGAAGGTTCGGAAGCAATATTCTTGTCTCGTTTACACAATTTCTCGATATGGACTCCCATCCTTAGGGTAGATTTGAGGTAGTCATCCTAAGTTAACGATAGATTGCCACGACATGTGAGATTTTCAAGAGTAAAGATCTCTAGCTTGAGCAAAAGAAACAATCTCTTCTCTATCAAGTCAAGTGAGGAGGAGAGGTATAAGGTAGTATGAAAAGTAGTAGTTATAAGAGTTGGTGGAATAAAAAAGGGTTTCTAGAGATTTCATTTGTTCGAACGATTTGTGGAGATTTTGAGAGGGTGAGAGATGAGAATTATTAGAAGATAAAGGGTCTCTTATGGGTGGTTTCCGATTATTCGGTATACCGGGTAACCACCGGGTAGAACTTGATATACTGAAAACTGAATTTTTGCAACTGCCTACCGATACCGTAGTTAATGGTATAATTTATTAACTTATATGTGTGAATAATTTAACCATATTGTCTGACTACGTGAACTAGTCTATGTGAAAAATATAAAATTATATGTATAAAGTATTATATGCAAAGTTTGTCCATAAAAAAAAAATAAAAAATCAACAACTTCTAACCTCAAATCATAAAATGGGGGAAAATGTAATGACGTCCTATCATTTTTTTTTGGTAAGCACCTTAGCCGTTTATGTATTACCATATCGCAAAGAGAGACATACAGATGATTGAAATGTTTAAATGGAGCAAAAGAGAGACTCTTCCTACCTTTCAAAAACCTCTCCCTTCTCTATACTTTTCAGAGTCTTGTTCCAGGGGTGTCCGCGCGACACTTTTTGGTGACTGATAATAGCCCCAAGCCCATTTTCCCTTCCCCATTCTCCTGCTCGTCTTGTCTTTTATTAGACGATTTTCTCTCAGTTTTTTCCAATCTTGCTATTTCTTCTAAAACCGATGTATCTTTTTGATTTTCTCTCTAGTTGAGTTATTCTCTTTGTTTGGATCTAAGGTTTTATGTTCTCCGCTTGCTCATTTTGGGATATGAAGTTTGCCACTTGGGAGCCTCATTCCTGAGTGGTGGTTGTTTACCCAATTTGGGTTGTTCATCATTTTTGGTGAAACCATTATCTTCTTTCCCCCTCTGCTTCCCTTAGTTGTTTGTTCTATCGTCTTGTCGGTCATCAGATAGCGGAGGGTAGAGTCTTCTTCGGTTGACTGCGGCTGCTTCTCAGTGTCTCCTTGAAGTTTTGAGTAGGAATGATAATTTCGACCTAACCTGTTTGACCTGTTTTGGGACAGGTATGGGTATTCTCATAGACCCGACTTGCCCTGACCCGCCCCATTCTCAACCCGTTCTTGCCTAAATCACATGTAATTTTAGTCAAATTACTTACGATTTTTCTTTTATCACATCATATTGTAGCTATTATAAAGTTGTAAATTAGTGAAAATCTCAATTTCTCCAATAATTTAACTATTTTTATCATATTATGATTATTTTTTGGTCTTATAATGAAAATAATGAATATTTCTAATGATTTCCATCTAAATTGCATATCCATTGGGTCGACCTACCCCGACCAGCGCCCCGTGATAAATTACCCGACCTGCCACGGGGCAGGTATGGGTATCGTGATACCCGTCCCGGACCTGTCCCATTGCCATTCCTAGTTTTGAGGCTTGGTTATGTTGTCTGCTTTTCTCGTACTCAATCTCTCTACATCGATTCCCTCTTTAGTTTGGAGCAATATATTTTACAGCCTTGTCCACTGTCATGTAATCCTAGTTTTGAGATTCACTGTGTTGAATGTCTTTGAGCATCACTAGGAGATGACATATGACATTGTTGTGCTCAATCTCCATGGACTTTACTATAATTAAATGAGTTGATTCTAATCTTGTTGTTACTCTGTTTGGTTTGGAAGTGATAAGGATTTTGGGTATATTTTATATGGCTCAAGTGTTAAACTTGTTATGATGGTTGATCTCACTCTTATTTTTTTTTTCTTGTTTATATGTTTCAAGCACGATTTTTTGTTTTAATAGTTTTTCGTGAGAAGCATTCGTCTTATTGTGGATCCAATGTGTTTCATTTAGTCCCTCTCTATAGTAGAATCATTTAAAGTGTGAAAGCGAGATTCCATAATGCGAGATTCCCTAATGCAAGATCCATTCGGTAAAAAATATAGTCTATGTCACCCTTACATAAAAAAATTCCTTTTGTAGAAAAAATGTTTAAATCATTACATTTGGGATTAATGCATAATTTTGATTGGTGTGAACTATGAACCAATAATGCCAATTTTTTTGTTGTTGTTGTGTGGTATGTATGACAAGGTTAATGATGGGCCTCGGTCAACCTAATCGGATTTCTCCCCCACTTCTCACTGATCCAGTTTCGCGCCTTCGGCCCATCTAAATCCGCTGTGTCCACATAGTAAATTAAATAGTATTAATAGTATAGACTATAGAAGGACGCCGAAAAGAAATCATAAATCGTTGTCTGTTTGTTTATCTTCTCCAGGCGAAATTAGGGTTTTGGTTTCCGCGATCGGAAAGGAAGAGGTAGAAAGAATCAAGAATTCAAAGTTTCGAGGCAGAGGAGTCCATCCGTTCCCGATTCATCCTTGTCCATATGATACCTCCAGATTCAATCCACCTCGCGCCAGGATTCATCTGAGAGTTCGATCTTTCTCTTTTCCTGTTTCGATTCCTTTTCCGATTCCCACAAAGCTTAGAATAATCCTTCCTTCAGCAATCGAATTATGTTCTTAATCTCAAATCCTCCTCCCGCCGCCGCTGTTGTTGCCTTCTCCAATCTCCGTGTTCTCGGCCCTGGTTTGAATCCATTCTCCCCATTTTGCGTCGCCCATCACTCCTCTCGCTAAATTTCTCTCGTCTTTTCGTTTCTACCTTAGCGAATCATGTAAACAAGAGTTTGACAGAAAAGATATCGTCTTTGCTCTTCGTTCCCTGCCCTTTTCTCGAATAGGGTCTTAGTGGTATTTCATATTTTGTCTATTGATTTCGGAGAAACTGAAATCTTTGCCTGGAGGGGATAATAGTATGATCCAGGAACGTTTGTTGAGGCGAAGCTTTTCAAAGAAGCGGTCTTTCAAGCTTGGTTCCGACAGAGACGACAGGGGATGGACGACCCTTCACGTCGGCGCAAGGAAGGGTGACGTGAAGGAAGTCAGGCGCCTTTTAGACGAAGGTATGGATGTCAACGTGGCTGCATTGGGCCCCAAAGCGAAAGGGATGACGCCGCTCCACCTGGCAGCGGAAGGTGGCCATCTTGATGTCATGGACGAGCTACTGGAGCGTGGCGCCAACATTGATGCGAGGACCAAGGGGGCTTGTTGTGGCTGGACACCGCTCCACATTGCTGCCAAGGAGAAGAAGATGGAAGCTGTGAAATTCCTGATCGAGAATGGCGCTTTTTTGCCAGATGACATGGAGGACTGTAGGTTCAATCCACCGCTGCATTACTGCGCTGGTCTGGAGTGGGCGTATGAAGAAATGAAGAGGTATCAGAGTGAGGGGTCCTCATCATCGGGTGAAGGGTCTTATAGCTCTGAGAGCTAATGGAAGAGTGGGGAAGATGATGTGCATCATATGAAGGAAAGCTTTTCTCCCAGCTCATGGCGTTTATGGCGAGTTTGCATCTTAAATGTTTATGTTTTCTATACAGTTTCTGCTGTTTGTCATTGCATTGTCTGAACTTGGATGTGTCTGTTTATGGTATTGAATTCCCTTTTTAATAAGAGCTGGAGATGTTCCATGAATGAGTGCATATGGTTGTTTGTGTGGTGTATAATGGCCTTCTCTGCATGTTGGGTAAAGTTGGCTGATGGTTGCTAATTGCCTACTATCGACTAGTAGCTGAACTTTCTGTACCATTTAGAAGTCTTGATGGAATATGGCAGCACTGTGATTCTTGGATTCTTCTAATGTGCCATGCTTTGTACTCTGTCTCACTCTCCTATGGTTGGTACTCTGCTCTTGCTATTATATCTTCTTATATCTGGATATTTGTAATGCTAGTCAACTGAGGGCATATATATTATTGAGTTCACGTCTTGGATAGAATTAGGTAGATCAAATCGACAAGTGAGACAAATTGACTCTATATATAATCTGATTCAATTTGGACGCACAAGTTCATTAACTTTTTGGTTTCCATTCAATAAATTCTTCTTGCAAGACAAGAAAGAAATGGACGGACTAAAATGGAAGCTAATTGAACCAGAATATGATACATGTGCTGTCTGGTACTGGTAAGTGCGTCAACATTAATTTCATATACGATGTCCAGATAAGGTATGCGTGGCCTGTAATCTAGGTCACCGCAAGGAAAAAAAGAAAGCAAAGCTGCCTGTCAGCCAAACGGTTTGAAGTCGTTAATGCGTGTCCTGTAATCATAATGACTTGCCATACATTGCTGTGCATCGTGAAACATGAGCGCCTCTCCTTCCATGTTAATATATTTCTATTATTGGCTGTTTTTCCACGTTGAGGATTGTGAAATCTTGGGCTCCCAACTCCCATTTGCGGGACCAAGTCTCCCAACTGCCAGAAAGGGACATTCATATATATACTAACCAGTTTGCTTACAAGAACTTAGGCACCGAAACAGAAAAAAAATCAATCTTGTTCACAAGAGTTTATTGCAATTTGAGTTGATTCCAGAATGGTGAAGAAGAAGGAACAGGAAGAGATCAGTAGTCAAGAAGATGGAAGAACACAGCCTCTCCTTCCTCCCTCTGAGGATCATGATAAAGAAGATCTCCCTTTTACTCCAACCCTTCTTCTCAGCATCTTGGCAGCTGCTTGTGGCTGCTTATCCACTGGATGCATTGTGAGTAACCCACTCCATTCTGTGAAACTATCTTATCAATGGTGGCGTCCAACTTGGTCATTATGCTGACAAGACGAGAGTGAGGGGCATTCAGCGCGTGCTGATGCTGTTGGATCGCCATTCCACTCAAGCTTTGGATTGATAGCTGTAATGTTAATGATCTATTGTCCGTCTGCCTGCAGGTGGGATACTCTTCTCCAGTTGAGTACCAAATCATTGAAGAACTGGGTCTCTCAGTTCAAGAGGTGGGTATCCCTTTTCTTTTTTCTTTTACGAGTCTAGACAAGCATAGACTTAACAGCAATTTCACATTCGTGTGCAGTACTCGTTTTTTGGGTCAATGATGATTGTGGGAGGGCTGGTGGGTTCTATAGTAGGTGGAAAGATTACAGAACTCATTGGAAGGAAACGTGTAGGGTTTACATCTAATTTTTCTTATTGTTCTTGTCGTGTTTTCTGAAAATGATTTTGTGTAAGCTCGAATATGAACTTTGTATACTGTTTCTTTCCCTCTCACTTGTGCAGATGATGTTGGGTCTGGGTGGACTGTTCATAGTTGGATGGCTGACTATTGCAACTGCAGAGGTGTTTTTTTTCCCCTCCAAGTTTCCAGCACTCCTCGAGATTGCTTATTTGGTTGCTTTCTCCTGAAGTTATGGGATTTAAGTTTGATTTCTAACCTTTGGATTTGGTATCTTGAAAAGGGTGCTTTGCAACTTGACTTTGGAAGGCTGTTGCTTGGGATTGGATCTTCCATCACTCTTTATCTGGTAATAATATGGTTCAGATTATTAGAACTTTCACTAATTTTCTTGCTCTTGCCGTAGATAACCTGAGTAACTTCATTTGGGAAAGGATTGAACCTTTGGCCCAATCAAAAGTTTTGTAAACAAGACTCTGATACCAGTTACGATGCAAACCTGAAATTACAATCCACAAACTAACTTGGTATGGATTGCCCATTTTTTATTCTTTCTATCTGGCGAAGGCACCTGTTTATGTGGCAGAGATCACACCCAAGAACCTACGGGGAGCAGCTGTGTCAGTCACCCAGGTGAAGAGATAATAGAAAAACCCAATCAAAACATGTTAGAAGTTGTTTTATTATTTCGCATGGGTTTACTGGTCTTTTCATGACAGTATTTTTTTCTCCTCAGTTGACAATGGTTTGCAGCATTTCATTCACATTCCTTGTGGGTTCATTCATCAACTGGCGTGCCTTGGCTCTAATAGGTAAGCTACTGCTGAAATATGCAACAACTAGATTGAAGTTTTGGAATCATGATTCTGGTTTGTTTTATACTTGTGCTTTATTTCTCAGGAACAATTCCAGGCCTAGTGCAGCTGGTTCTTACATTCTTCATTCCTGAGTCTCCAAGGTGGCTGGTGAGGGCAGAGATAATGAATCATTGTTTTGTAGGCTGATTACATAAACCGGAAATTTAATTCTTTTTAGGTCATTTAGCCCATCTGAACTTGGACAATTAATGAACTTGTTTGTTCAGTTAGGATCAATTAAGCTTAGTAGTGAATTTGTTCTTCTCCATTGAAATATTCCGCCAGGCATACACACATCAATGTGAAAATTTGCCCAGAACAATAATTAAGAGACCGAATTAAATGGGTTAGTTGGGTTCGAGTGTTTTTTTTGCTGGTGCATTGGTGAGTTGACCTGCCGATTACGACATTCTTGGGCAGAAAATCAAAGCGAGAAAATGGCTGCTGTGCTATGTTAGTTGCTCCAAACCTAAGCCGAGAACTTTACATGGCTTCCAACTTTCTCAAAGTGAATAATGCTTTACCAAATTCTGACTGCAGGCTAAAACTGGCAGGGAAAAGGAGTTTGAAGCTGCTCTGCTGCAGCTTAGAGGAGGAAATGCTGATATTTCTTGGGAAGTTGATGAAATCAAGGTAAAGGACTTCGTTTTTGGTGAATTTAAACAATTCATGATCCTCTTCCATTTCATAAACTGACTCGTATGAATCGCTGATCCATCAGGAGTACACCAAAATCATCCATAGTATATCCAAGGACAGCAGCATCTTTGATCTGTTCCAGAAACAGTATGCAATTCCTTTAATAGTAAGCCCTCCTTTTGTGTAACTGAATCCAACACAAACAGCACGATAAAGTTTTCTTTCCCTTTTCTACTTGTCCCCTTTTTAAGTCATCACTTGATTATAATGATGGCAGGTTGGAAATGGGTTAATGGTGCTGCAGCAATTCTCAGGATTGAACTCATACACATTGTATACTGGCGCTATCTTTGTTTCTGCAGGTTTGTCACTAAAATCGGGCTCCGTCATAGTGACATGAATCAAAAGTCACGGAAAAGTAAAGTTCCTTACATTTTGTTTCTCTTTATTGGCAGGAATCCCAAATACTGCTGGGTTCTTGACAGTGGCATCTTTCCAGGTCCTTGAATTGAACTCTCGTATCTTTTTTTTTCCTTCTCTTATATCTTATGATGTTTGAAATGTCTCGGCAACTTGTTTATCCCAATTACTCAGTTCATCTAATAACTTGACTTATTATGGATCTTGTATCATTCTCTTACGTAAAGTGTTCATAATTGTTTTTTTTTTTGTTTACTTGTTTATACAGCTTGTGGGAACAGTGTTGACTGCTGCATTGATGGATAGGTATGGGAGAAGACCCCTTTTACAGGTTAGACATAGAAATGAAAGTATGGAAATTTTTAGTACAGTTGGGAAATCATTAGAACACTCAGTTGTTGTTTATGTTGATAGGCTGCAGTTATTGGAACATGCTTTGGGAGCCTGCTTACTGCACTGTCATTCATCCTACAGGTTACCTTTTGTTTTTGTGAAGTAACTAAAACTATTCCGTTTCTTCAATCAACCTTCTGAGCAAGAAAAAGTTTTCCAATCATCTCCTCTGGATTTGTATGTGGCAGGGCTTTGAGGGATGGAGTAAAGTGACTCCAACTCTGGCGCTCCTTAGTGTACTGGTAAATTAAACTCTCAAGCCTCCTCTAACCGCGCGCGGGAACTTTCTTTCTAAATCACCAATCCGTTGCCAAATCTTAAAGCTGAGAACTGGATCATTGATAATTTTGATTTCTTGATGGCAGATATATTCAGGGTCTATGTCGGTTGGGAATGGAATCCCATGGATAATAGTGGCAGAGGTAGTAACTTGATGCATTTCCAAAGCCATGGATTTTTTTTTCTTCTCTCTGTCCAGGAAAACCTGATGAACTTACATTGTTTGAATGATCAGATATTTCCTCTGAACATCAAAGGGTCAGCAGGGACAATGTGCTGTCTATCCTACAATGTATCTTCACTCATGGTCTCATTCTCTTTCCAGTCTCTGCTCCAATGGAGCCCTCCAGGTAAACTGATTTGGAGGCATTCATGCTTTGTCAAAATACATATGCATACACGCATTGAGTGCCAACAAATCCCTGAAAAATTTCGTCTTGTCACTTTTTTGATCAGGTACTTTCTTGCTATATGCAAGTGCAAGTGTCGTGGCAATAGGGTTTGTTGCCAAGTTGGTTCCTGAGACTAGAGGGAGAACCCTTGAAGAAATCCAATCCTCTTTTACCCAGAAGTGAATAAAAACCAACACCCAAACTACCTGTGGAAAGAAAAGAACAAGAAAAGAAAAACAACAAACACTATATAGCAGCTTTCACTAAAGGTGGCAAATTACATGGGATCCTTGTATAATACAAACGATGTAAAAGCGTATTGCTTACTTATCACAGTGTACCAGAGTTACCTGAATTTACTAGTCGTTTGTTTTCAGAGATAGAAGAGAAGAGTACACCAGATGTTCCCGAAGGGAAGAGTATACGCCAGCGGTTAATTTTACGACATTTAATTCGATGCCGCATGATAAAAGACGGTGTCGTTTAGTGACAAACAACATCGCAGAGAGGTTTAACGAAACCGCGGAGCTCAAGGATAGAAAACCTCTCAATTTTCAAGGTTAAACATCGATACAACAAGCTCCATTATAAAGATCCAACTCATCTTCAAGCCAAGGTCACTATTCGGATCAAAGCCGACCTTCAGATAATTGTTTGACAAAACTTGAAGATATGGTGGGACAATTCATCAACACTGACACAAGGAGGTTCGATATGATTGATAAGTTTGTGGAGAATACTGCAAACAAGGTTTCAACTTTCAACCCTGGAGGCAGGTCGAAGAAATCATAACGCAACACTTTAAAATCTTGAAGCAAAATTGAGCTCAATGGCTCAATGTTTAGCAGCAAGACCCGAAGGGGCTTTATCGGGTAACACGGAACCTAAGGAGTGTCCGGCCGTTGAAGGAAGTTCCGAGTCCAACACCCCAAGCACCTTTGTGGCAAGTTCAAAGAGAAGTAGCTCAAGAAGAGAAGCTTGTTGAAGAAGAAGTGATAGTCCCTACCAGTGTAGTTAAAATTGCGTTTTAAAGCGTAAAATCGTATGATTTTACGTTTCTAGGGTAGGAAAACATTTCAAATCACTAATAAAATTGTTTTTCACTCAAAAGCGTTAGTAGAATCATTAAAATCGTATAAAATCGTGTTTTCAGACAGATTTTATCCGATTTCAAGCAAAGGAGAAAACTGCCTCCACCAAACCAAAACGATGACGTTTTGAGCACTTCGGACAAAAAAAAAAAAAAAAAGAAGGGAATAGGGTGGATATCGGGCTGAGGCTGTCAAACTCTTCCAAAATCCCTAATCGTTGTCTCTTGTTTCCAGCACTCCAACGAGGCAGGCCCGCCGCCGCCCTCCTTACTCGTCATTGCCTGTCGCCGCCATCGCGAGGCAGGCCATCCAGGCTCCAGCGAATAATCCGCATCTGCTACAAGGCTTCACAACCGTTGCCGCAGTCCGCTCCCTTCCAGCGAAGAATCTGTAGCTGCTACAAGGCTCCAAGCCTCCAACGCGGCAGCGCCCGTCGCCCGTCGGACTCGTCATCGCTTGTCGCCACTAGCCGGCGACACAACCAGTTAGTTTCTATATCTCCCTTGTCCTAGCCCATCGCCACTTCTGTCTTCACCAATTTGAGTAGTTGTGTTTCATTGTACATCAATAACTATGAAGATTCGTCGTCTAGTCAATGAAGGGGAAAGCATTTGTTTTTATTAGTTCCTAGGAGGCTAGGACAAAGAGTTGGATTGTACGATGTAATTAATATAAAGGCGGAGGCGGAAACGGCGGTGGCTGTTGTAGTGGTGGGAGATCGATAGATCGAAGAGTACAGCGAAAGAGCCATGTGGTCATGGCTCGATAATAGTTTGTTTTAATTTAGACATAAATTGCAAGTATTTATTCTTTTATCTAAACTCTGTGCACTCATATTTTACATAGTTTATGTCGTACTTAACATATTTTTAACTATTATACAAGATGCATAAAAACTTACGCTTTTACGCTTTGATTCACCCCTTTTCGATTTTACCCCTTTTCCGCTTTTAGGTAGAATCGCGCTTTTGACTGCATTGGTCCCTACCAAGATCAATATCGAGGAGGAATATATTCATGTACCTGAATACATTCCAAAGGCACCTTATCCCAAGAGATTGTTTGAAAGTGATTTACATCATAAATGTGCTCAATGGAAGGATACTCTCATGCAACTCAAGATAACTATCCCTTTCATGGAGATGGTTATGAAGATTCCCAAGTACACAAAGTCTTGAAGGAAATCTTGTCGAGAAAGAGGAAAATAGAGGAATTTGCTATGGTTACCATGAGTAAAGTAGCTTCAACATCTATTGGTTGCGAAAGCAGACCGCCAAAGATGAGAGATCCGAGAGTGTTTACCATTCCTTGTACATTCGGTGTCAAGACCTTTTAGAAATTTCCACCGCCAAATTGTAATACGGAATCATCTCCAAAGATCTCTATCAGAGCAGGCATATGCCAAACGTGAATACCCCCCGAAGCTACGGGTAGGACGCCTGGTAGAGAGACCCAATCTTGAGTGAAATCCATTAGCTGCCTTGGGTTCAATCATCAATATTATGCCTACGAGGATTTACGAGGAGCTCAGTCTTGGCCACTCACTCCAACAAGCATGAAGATCGAGCTAGCTAACCGATCCATTTTGGTATAGTCGAGAATGTCTTGGTAAGATGTGCTCATTTTGTTTACTCTGTGGACTTTGTCATTCTGGACACAGAAGGGTGTATTGATGCACCGATCATTCTTGAAAAATCATTCTTGGCTACGACAAGGACAATCATTGATGTTAGCAAAAGTCGAATCATACTAAGGTTTGGTGAGGAGAAGATCCTATAGAAGATGACTTCACGTCCCAAATTCCACAACTATCACAAATGGGAAGACCATACAAATACTTAAGGGAGACTTAATGAGCTAGCTAATCGTGATGAAAAGGTTCTCTAATTTTTAGATTTTTGCTTCTTGTAAGTTTTTTAATTTAGAAGGAGACAACAAATTTGTTAGTGTAAGTGATTGTGAATATTGTCTTTCTCTGAATACACCCTGATTCAAATCTCAATGTTGATGTATTTCTTCTGTAAATAATAAAGAAACAAACCATTGTAATGACAAATGTATCCTTCATAAATTTTCGCTTTCATTGCAGAAAATTTGAAATAGAAGAATGAAGATGGTTGAATTGTTGACTTGTAAACAAATATGTGTTGTTAGACTCATGGCACGACCCATGGAAACAAATATGACCATTATCATCTTTTATAATGATAATATAATATTACTAATTATAAAATAGGTCAACAGAGAAAAGGACAAACATGTTATCACAAATATGACCATTATCAACCGCTGTTCTCTCGAATTTGGAGTATGGACCATAAAATCGTATCGTATCGGCGGTTCAACCACGAAATATCAGTATTGGAGGCTAAATCGGTAGATGGTATTTAATGATATTAACGGTTGAACTACGATTAAACCACGATTCTACCATAAAATATTTTATCGCTGACTTTTCCGGTACAATCTCCGGTACGGTTTCATGGACCATGATTTGGAGTCACCCATCCCAACACATGCTATCAGAGGGGGTCTGCCTCTCTTAGTGCAAGCAACCTGCCATTGATGCATGTATCTCTTCAAGGGTCCTTCCTTTGGTCTCTGGTACCCATTTCCAGGTGAACATAACCATTGCCCCACAAACTAAGGCAAAAATGAAAAATGTCCCTACAATAAAAGAGAAAAACCCCATTTGTGAATCAAAACAACTATGCGGACTCAGTCACATAACATTCTCAGAACAAACTATCTATCTAACCATACATTAGATGTGAACGCATTAATTTTATATTATACGTCAAACATACGCTAGTTTTTGCCGATATGCTTCAAATATTAATGTATGCTAACCTCGTAACTAAAATTTATTACATTATATTTACCTGCAGGGCTCCATTGTAGCATGAAGTTGAAAGTGTAAGTGACGAGCCAAGAAGATGACCAATTGACTAACGCCACGAGAGTTCCGGCTAATGCCTTCACGCTCATGGGAAATATCTTCCATAAAAGAAAAAGAAAAAAATTAATATTAGTACTTTGAGCATATATGTGAATTTATGTCAAACTTTATGTTGAAAAAATAAAAAATATTCCAGACCTCAGACATCATGATCCATGGAATGCCTGCCACCCCAATTGAGAAAGCTGCTATGTATGCCTACACAGTCATTAAAATACTTCTTTTAGGATCATAAATTCATAATGAAATAAAAATTACCAGCAATTCATTCCTATGTTTTCACTTACAGTAAGACCAAGGACGGTTAAAATTGGAGTCAAGTCCTTCAAAAGATTAAGGCTCTGTAGATGAATAATTTGGAAGAACCAAACACAGTCAATATCAGAGCTACATAAATTAATTCACACTACAAAACCAAACAAAGCGGGTTTTTTGCGATCAAATTGTTTCTTAAAGGAATATTAGCAACCAACTTTTTGTGATCAAATAACTATATTTGGTCTCAAACTGCACTTTTTCTAGGAGTCAAAGTCGTGATGAGTATCTAAACTAATTTAGTAATTACCTGCAATATAAATGATAATCCCATAAGAAAGCTACAGAAACACATTCCACCAGCAGAAACCTGCATAATATTTTTGTTTCATCAGGTAGTTAGTTCATAAATTCATTAACTACGTACTTTGTTTAGTTAATTAATTATTATTTGAATTGAATAGTGTGTCTTATTAATTAAGTAGCAATGCTTACCATGAGCAGTGGTCTTCTTCCAGCAAAATCCATCAAGAACAGGCCTGCAGCCGCTGATGGTACCTACAATAACGTAAAATATGTCAAAAACATTTTGTAACAACCAAAAATATCTACAACAAACGAGATACTTTAGCGACCAAGGACTGGTTGCTAAAAGTTACAGAGTGATTGGATGATGCTATTCTTTTGTAGCTTTTCACGACGTTTTGTCCTGATTTCACAAAATTTTAAAGTTGGTTTTACCTAATGATTTGGTCCAATACCTGTATGAATGATATAATGATGGTACCAGTGCTGGTTGGAAATCCTGTATCCAAAGTTCGATCAGAAGTGTGCATATATAAGTTCAAATTAAGACACGACTTAGATTTATGGTTTATAAAAAAAAATTAAAAGTATAATCTAGAGCCATGAAAACTTGAACTCAATTTTTTTCTTCCAGAATTCAAATCGGTTGGAAACTTGATCTAGCAAGCTTGATTTTACTTACCAGCTTTCTCAATTACACCACTGGCATAAAATGAAACTCCTGAACTGCCTCCAAGTTGCTGTAAAAGCATTAGACCAAGTCCAACCTAAATTGGGGATTGGGGGATCATAAACAAGTTAGCTCAATGTCACTAAATTTTTTCAAAGAGAATATGAGAAAGGAGGAATATTTATTAAAGGTTTAGTTGAATAATTAGTCTCACAGTGAGGGAGTATGCATATTTCTTCTGGAAAAGGTCCATGACTTTGGCATTTGAATCTTCTTTCAAAAAATTCATGGTATTCTGCACATATGATTATTTACCTGTCACTAATATATATAATACATATAGGAAGGATATAATTTTTATCCTAAAAAGGACATGTCACGTTGAAAGATAAGGAATTTAAAGTAGGAAAAGGATTTTACTACAATCTCTTCTTTTTCTTGAGAGATATCAACGTTGCCTCTCAACCAATGCAATGAAGCTTCAAACTCTTTGCCTCTTCCTACTTTTGCCTGCAAATTACGTAAATGTACATGAACATTAACACATCACATTCACACCTCATCAAATTTATAACCAATTTAGTCGGATAAACCCACCAGCCATCTTGGAGACTCTGGAATGAAAAATAGCCCCACGAGTTGTAGTATCGCCGGGACAAGACCTAACAATAATAAGAAGAACAATTAGCTTGTGTAGGTAAACCCACAGTGATAATTAAAATTATAATAAAAACACGGCAAGAAAAAGAGCTCCTCGACGACGAACACTTGCAGAAAGGATCGCCAAAACAACAATATAGTTACAAATCCTGGCTGCGATTTTGCGACCATTTTGTTGTCACAATAGATTCTTGCTTACAGTGAATTTTTTTTTTTGCTGCCAAGCTTACAGTGAAATTGACAGGTATAAAAACAAACTTAAAATATAGATGGTTTTACCCATTAGCGCTAATGTGCGCCAGGAAATGAAATTTCCCACCAGGAAAACAATAGAACACCCGCAATTTGTCAGCAACTGGACGATCCATAAAAATAAAAATTATATTAGCAGCAGCTTTCATATTATTTATTTATATATAGCCTGGTCGGTCGTATTAATTACCTGATTGGCATATGAAAATGCTCCTCTGGAATCTTTGGGTGTTACTTCTGCCACGTAGATGGGGACCTATTTTCTTAACAAACTAAATGAGTATATGAAGTGAGGTTGTCTTAAAATGTTGCTTTGGTTTAGAAAATGGTATTGTTACAATCGATTCATGCCGGTTCAATAAGTTAAATACGAAGAAATGTGAAAATCATTGAGAACAAATGAATTTAACCATATATAAAATATATCTGGAAACAATCTAGCTACTTATAATCTACATTTATATTTAAATAAAATATAACATTCCAAACAATATAATAAATAATTATATTATACAATATTTAACATTAACACCCAAGTGTTATACTTGAATCCAACAAATAGCATCAAGATTTAACTTTCAAATTCATGAAATAAATCACAAATTATTATTTTTATTTAAATTCATTAAAACAAAATCATTTTGTTAAGAGGTCAGAAATCGATCATGTCGGTTATACTTTTATATTCTAGCTGGTTTATTGATCAGCACCGCTTATGTCAAGTTCAACCAGCCGACATTCGACACAACCATGTGAAGTAATTTAATTAGTGTAAAAAATAACCACTCCAACTCGAACTGTACCGAGTTAGTGAAAATTACCACGTACGTCAGGAACCCAACTCCAAACCCAATTGAAAGCCTTCCCATGTCAAGCCACCAGGAACTCTGCTTCCTCCAAGGCAGCAACACAATATGAGATTTAGTTAATTATTTTCTTTCATTCATGTGATTAAGTTAATTAATAATTAAAAAGAAACAACATGAGATTGGAAATTTAATTACAGGGGCAAGTGCTATTGCAACCCAGCCAATGCTGCAGAAAACCTGTGATAGCCACATCGTCTGCAACAACAATCCAATGTGCACACACCAGTCAGTCACGAGATTTTATTTTATTTTAGTTTAACCTAATCAGTAATTAATTAACTCCATTCAAATAGCTTACGTATTTGCAACCAAGAATAGCCGTCATTCTCCCACAGAATAGAGCTCCAATCATCCCGCCAACCGTCAAAACTGACCCAAACATTGAGAACTGCACAGTACCAAACCCCCATCAGAAATAAAACTAACCACCTAAAAAAAAATGTTAGAAATGAAACATCAACAAATAGAGAGCATTGAACTGTAAAAAAAAAAAAAAAAATAGAGGCATTTAGCGACCAGAGCAAGGTCGTCAATCGGTAAGAGAAAAATGGTTCCAAGAACTTTTTCCATTTTGAATGGCGACCAACATGGTCACAAATAATTTGGTTCTGTAGCTAGTGTAGCAAAATCATATAATTGTTCACCTAAAGCTTCGGCTTAAAGTCAGATTTGTCAACCAAAATTATGCACTTTTTGAGCTAGGCGTATTTCTAATTTCAACCCTTACTTCTTACATCTATTTTCTGTTATTCATCGAATCCACTCTTACTACTCCACCTCAGGCCACCCAACCCGTGGTTTAGGTCCCACAAGCTTACTCTAAATAGGCAAATTGCGAAATTTAGAAAATGCGTCAAAAAGTTGTGAACTACTTTTTCTTGAAGCGCAACGTTGATTTGGGAGAGCGTGATTCCTTTGATAATCACAAATTCAACAACTACCATGCATGTTTAAATTATCAAACCAATTTCAACAAGAAAACAGTAGAAAATTTATTTAGGAGAGATCCTAGTATATATGTTCCTTTGGACAAGACATATAACTCTTAATCAATGAATAACAGCTCTTGTCTAAGTCAACATGCTTAGCTATGGTCATACGTTTGATGGTTCATTTATTTGATCTTGACTCATATCTTTGTAAAGGTTTCCAAAATCTTTTTATTTTGAAATGATATATAGTTTATAAAGTCTTGGTGTATGATCTCTGTAAATATTCGTAACCAAAATACTAAAATTGATTATTATATTACTTAATATTTCTAATTTCTGAACTTCAGAACCTCAACTAACAAATCCCAATGTTTGGAATTCGAACTAAACCACCGAAGTATACACCATAAATTTCCATTTTACATATTAAACATTGTGCCGCATGGACAAATTACTCGTAATACTTGTTGATATATTTTCCAATTTAATTTTGAAAGACTTATCAAAATATAGTATATTATATACCCTCAAAATTTAGAGTATACAACAAAAAGGACAACGATTTTCCCACAAAAACACTTAATGAGATGATTTTTGTTAATTGCACATTAATAAGAGAGGCGGTTATCATTTTTGTCACTTGGAATCAATAAGCTGGTGAGTGAAAACATAGAGGCATTATTAGGGCAATCTGCAGTAGAGTCGACTCAAAATTATATGTACACAAGCGGTGATGTAGGCAAGATTTCGCTCAATGTTGGTCCGGTGTAAAAATAAAATATATAAAATAAATTTTATTAATATTTAAATTATTTACGATGCACATTCATAGTTTGTTGATTGATTTTTATTTAATGATGGAGAATTCGACACTAAATTAAGAATTATTAAACTCTGAGTAAACAATTAAAGATAGATTTTTATGTAAAATCCAGTGCTATTTACATAATATGCAATGTTAATGTGTTCCATAGAGGTGAATTTGCACGTTTGGTCCCTCAGTTATCAATTTATTTTACATTTGCTACTCAAATTTTTTTCTTTTTTTATTGGTCACAGGCTTTAACTTTTTGTTTCATTGTTGGTTAATGGCTTTCCAACTTGTTAAATCCATCCTGTATGGCAGTCAACTATAATTGTTGATTGGTAAGTAGTTGACTCTTCCATTAAAGTACCACACTAACATAATTCATTAAGGGGTATTATAGTAACTACCGACTCATATGAGCTACATTCCCTCCCAAGTCTCATGTGTTTGTGTTTAATATGCAAATTACAGTTTAGCACTAAAACTTAATAGATTTCATTATTTAGTACCTAAAATTAACCTTTTTGCATATAAGTCCAATTTTTTTTTATGGAAAATTACATTTTACTACCAAAATTTTACGACCTCTACCTGAACTTTTAAAACCCCAATTATTGTCAAACATGTTATTTGAGCTAAATCCTACAAATAAATTTTTTGAATTGAGTGATTTTGAGTACATATTCCTATTTATATTCCTAGATCTAAACCACCCGTTAAGGAATTTTTCCGTGTGAATAAAGCCAAAATCGTTCCTGCTCCAACTTCAATGGCACTCGAAATAGTTTCGGCATATTTCCTGCTGGCCACTTTTTTGCCTGGCAACCCAATTTAGCAAAAGCGAAAAGATAAGGAAACGAAATTCTTTCTGCCAATAAGAATTAAGATGATGGAAACAAATAAAAGGACAAAGAAATTCACAAAGAAAATCGACTAGATAAGGGAAGAAAATCGAACTAATGAAAACCGAATGTAGGGTTATTTGTATTCATTAACATACGAGAAGACCAAAAAAAATATAATACTTACAGCCGCAACAGAGAGTCCCAAATCTTGGGTAATTCCATCTTGGGCTGGTGACGAAAACGATATCTGCCGCCAAAGACAAAAGAGAGAAAGAAAAACGAAAGTGAGCTGAATAATTAGAAACTGTACATATAATTGTATTCAAATTCCGACTAATTAATATATAAAATAACACACATTATATTAGAGCTTTTGTAACGATTTTCCGTCATAACTTGATAATTTTCTCACCAATTATGTAAGGAACAAACACCGTAAAATTTCAGTAGCCCGTTTTTTTTCTTTCCTGCGTGGCCGGAATCCACTATTACGGAATGTAAATTAAATATGCATGCAATTAAAATCATAATTAAGCGACAACCATGCATAATTTAATCAATAGTAACGACAAATACTGTGTAATTATATCTGTACTTACAGCACAGCCATATGTGAAGGAGCCACAAACGGCGACGAACGTGCTGAAGATAAGGGCAGGCGGCGGCGGCGGCGATGATACTCCGGCGCCGTTGCCGTTTTCAAGAAAAGGCTTCTTTAGCAACGCTCCTCCTCCTTCCATTCTTCTCTTTCTGCCACCCGTTTTTCTTCCCTTTAGTTGATTTCCAAAACAAAACTCTTCTGAATATATAGGCCGATAGAAAGAAGAAGAGCGGGCCGGGCAATAAAAAGAAAAAAGTTACTGCAATAATGTTGAATTGTGTTTTTCTCTTACTTTTGTCCTTTTCCGAACCACTTATTATATATATGGTGACAACCCAACAGTTTCTTACATTACATTCCACCAGATTAAGATGTGACTTCATCTTCTTTCTCTTGATTCCTTTTTATAAATATCTTTCTTCACTTGAGTTTGGAAGGAGAAATGTATTAGGCATCACTTAAAATTTTAGTATTATTTATAAATGGATATGCATCACTTATGTCCATATATCACTTAAATTGAGAGGAAATGGATATCATGAATAACAAACTTCTGCTTTAACTTTGATCATAACAATTTTCATTAATTTTATTATTTTTAGCGTAAGATATCTCGTTCATTTTTAATTTGATTTTAGTGTTTTTATAAAAAAAATTGAATTACCTCTGATTTTCGAGATGATATCTATTCTATAAAAATTTAACACTATGATGCCATTTTACTTGAAATGTAACACATTTTTCGCGTCACACGTAACATTTTTACGAATCGCAAAAAACAATGTTATGCACGACGTAAATCAGTGTTGCGTTCGGTTCCTGATTACATAAGACATGACACGGTGTAGCTATTATCAAATAGATGAGCATGTATATAACTTCTATTTTTATTATATATCCTAATTACACTCCCACACCGTTACTCATTCATTTCTCTTTAAAATTTAAGGAAAAAACAAAACTAACCTCATTTCACTTGAACAAATCTAACATCTCAACCGCTCAGCCTACATTGTTGGTCATCATGAAAACTATGAAATTTTGTAATTTGATTTTGATCTTCATGCATGCTATATATTGAGCATACAATGGATCGTACATGCAACTGGTGAGAAAAAGAAGAGTTTATACTTATACAAATGGTTAGGAATGATAATTGGGGATGTAAATTAGTCATAAATCATCATCATACTACGTTACGTTATAGCAACGTACCTCTTCCACGACTGAAAACAACCAAATGGATTTGTTGAAGAAAAAGAATGTCCGAGTGAGATTGAGAAGAAGATGAACCTATATTTATTTATGGCCAGCATCTCATAAATACCCGGCTCAAACTGCATTGATCTACCTGTTATAAAGTTGATAAAAACCCGCATTATTGAGTGATTGATTTGTTTTAAAGAATGTCTAGCTACTTGATTAAATGGTTGACGTTTCATAAATAGGTGGGAGGCAGCCATTATTGATTGATTGTTTGGTTTCTTTCTTGCATCTTCAAGTTAAGTGGATCATCAACATGTCGCCCAGCCCAGCACTGTCCATCTTCTGGGTGAATCTGGGACCCTACTTTTATTCCCTTTTTTTTTCCCCCATATCGAATTATTGATCCTGCACCAAGGGCAGGAGTAAAGTTGCACATACGGCCAATAATGCATTATGATGATATTGGGATAAGTAGAAATAAGAACACGATCGAGGAGAAGATAAGGGTATGCTATTGTCGGAGAGCGATATCATTCCTCAATGTCAATTATATTGTTGTTGCTGGTCACCCTCTGATCCTGTTTTCGGTCAGAAAAATCTGGTGTTTGAAATTTATAAATGCACCTTTGATTTATTGAACAACGACAATAACACGGTTCACTCCTCTCCGAACAATGTTCGAACGAGGGTGTTTGATATTTTTGATGGCTTTTGGGAACAAACTAAGTTAATTACACCTACTCCTATGGAGCTTCAGCGAGAGCTCCGAAAACTAAGACTATGACTAATTTGCAGAGAAAAAAAAAAGTTTGACATTGTGTGTCAAATGGTTGGTTGTGGAACCCTTGCTTCGTCTTCGTTTCCCCTATTTATAGCCATCTCTTGTAACCGCCATGTAACTGCCTCTTGGAATAGCTGTCTTCCATGCTTGGTATTTGATGTAGCCTGCTTGACACCTTAACCGCCTTGCTTGCTTGCATATCACTCGGTACCTTGATAGCTTGACGATTTCACTTGGCATGTAGCTACCTTGTGCCGTTGAGGCATCTCGCTTGACTTCATCTTGATATTGGATGCCTCATGCTGACCACCCTTGCACAACATCATGCTTTACGCCAAGGTGCTTGGGGAGTTGATGGATGCACATTAACCCCTTTGGGATGGCATCATGCTTGTAAGGTCTTGACAAGGCGGTCTACCATCCATGAGGCCTAGCATGCCTGACTACTTGGGAAGAGGGTGTGTTGTGCCATACCCCTTTGGCATGATATCATGCTTAGTACCCTGGTACTTGGTAGGCGGGTACACAACCTGCTTGAGGGGTGGGTGGCGAAGTCTTTACACTTAGCCAAATTCCATTACCAATGTCTCTACCCCTCTTATACGATGTCATGCTCGATACCTAGTGCTTGGTATGTGGGTAGCTTGGTGCTTTGACCCCCCTTGTGGTTGGATCTCAACACTTAGCCAAATTTTGCCTTTCTTTGCCACCACGTTCTAGAGACGAGCGTTGCCCTTCTTCCCTTGCCACGTCTAGAGGTAGTTGATATCACCCTCCTTAGGCGGCCATGGTACTTAGTGCTTGACCCCTTTTGGATGATGTCATACTTGACCCCCTTGTGGTTGGGTCTCAATACTTAGCCAAATTCTCCTTCCTATGTCGTCACTTTCTAGGAGTAATCAGATCGCATGCTTGATGACCCTCCTTGCACGACATCATGTTTGACACCCTAGTGCAAGGTAGGTAGGCGGCATGATACCTAGTGCTTGACCCCTCTTGGATGACGTCATGCTTGACCCCCCTTGTGGTTGGGTCTCCAACCTTAGCCAAATTTCACATTCACCATGCCGACTTGGATGGTTGATGGTGAAGGGTGTCAATGTTTGGCGCTTGACCCCTCTTGCATGACAGATGGGTGTTTGGTGGGTCAAGAGATGTGTGTTGAGGTACCTTGTATGAAGCCTAACATTCCATCATTTAGGCCCAGCTTAAACCAATTTAATTAATATGGTTAAGTTAGCCTTATAAACCACTACCACTCCCTGAAAATAATGATCAATGTGGTATTAAGTAATTTTTTAGGGTAAACATATCCACACTCTACCGTTCCAGTAACATACATAGATGCTTAATTCATTGGCTAGATCGGTATTTGCGAGCATCCATCTAGTTCGTGTGCTCCCTCTTCCCGGTCTTGTTAAGTCTAGACGAGATAAAGAGCTTGCAAGTTGGAAGTATATTTGACTTTTGATACACCAACGAGTCACTAAAAAGAAACAAAAGAAATCATAATCGGAAGAGGGGGGAAATTTTTTGAGAAGGAATCCGAACTAGATTCGGATTAGTAGCGTGCCAAAAGAAAGAGTTTAAATCGAGTCTCTGTATAATAAGCAATACAACATCGTTTGGCGTATTGCAGAGTCCGTCATTATGTTTGTGTCAAGTTACAATTGAGTTAAGGAGTGGTTTGTTAGTTGAGAGTCTTTAGCTGATTAGTTAGTTTGCTGAGTTGTGTTAGCGTGATTCAAGGGTCATGGAACGTTGATAGCAACCAGAGATTGTGGTTTGCATCAACCACTATATGCATCTTTCTTCCAAATCAATAAAAATTAGTCAGTTTGCTGTCAAATGCTTTCTACATTTGGTATAAGAGCATTAGCAGGCTGTAACCATTGTTGCTTTCAAGCAAAGTTCTGAGTGATTGTGTGTGAGTGAAATTGAGTGTGAGTGCATGATTGGGTGTGGGAAACACGAGAGCACGTTGGCGAGGAATCCTTTCAAGGGTGTGTGTTTTTTCTGGGAATAGAGGGTTGTTTGTTTTCTACAAACATGAGTGACAATGTTGGTTTTGCACAAGTGAGGTTGCCAAAATTCGATGGGGACTTTGACCACTGGAGCCTTCTCATGGAGAATCTCCTTAGATCAAAAGAATATTGGGTGGTTGTTAGTGAAGGCATTCCTGAGCCAGTCGCTGGGACTCAGTTATCTGCTGTGGAGTCCAAGAATCTGGAGGATCTCAGGCTCAAGGACCTAAAGGTCAAGAACTACTTGTTCAGCTCCATAGATAAAATCCATCTTGAAGACCATCACCAACAAGGCCACCTCCAAACAACTCTGGGATGCCATGAAGACCAAATACCAGGGAAGTGCTCATGTTCAGAAGGCCCAGTTACAGGCTTTGAGAAGCACTTTTGAAGTCCTTGAGATGAAAGAGGGTGAATCTGTTGTTGCTTATTTCAGTCGAGTTATGGTAGCGGCTAATGACATGAGAAACTGTGGAGAAGATATGCTTAATGTTAAGATAGTTGAAAATATTTTAAGAACATTGACTGAGAGGTTTAACTATGTTGTCTGCTCCATTGAGGAGTCCAGAACATAGAAACCCTCTCTGTTGATGCTCTACAAAGTTCACTGCTTGTCCATGAGCAAAGGTTTCATAGGAAACCTCTTATGGAGGAAGATCAAGCACTAAGAATGGCTTATGATGGAGGAGCTAGAGGAGGAAGAGGAGCTGGCAGAACTGGTGGCTTTCAAGGTAGGGGAAGAGGAAGGGGAGGAAGAGGTTGGAATATGGAGCAGGTTGAGTGCTTCAAGTGTCACAAATTGGGGCACTATAGAAATGAATGCCCCGATTGGTACACAAACCAACAAGCTTACTATTCTCAGGCCAAATCCAATGATCACAATGCTCCCCCTGAGGATGTTCTGCTGATGGCTTTCCTGGAAGAACCTCTAGCAGAAGGAATGCACAAATGGTGGTTTCTAGGTTCTGGTTGCAGCAACCATATGTCTGGAGACAAGAGATGGTTTGAATCCCTGGAGGCAACTCAAGCTGGCAAATCTGGTTATTCACAATGTTTTCTATGTGCCTGGTTTGAAAACAAATCTATTGAGTATGAGACAGTTGCAGGGGAAGGGACTTGAGTTTATGGTTAAGAGGAATGTCTGCAGAATCTATCATGAAGACAAGGGTTTTCTGTTGGAAACCACAATAAGGTCCAACAGGATGTTTGTCCTGAAGGATGACTCACACAAGGCTGAAGTTCACTGCCTGCAAACTGAAAGTGCAAAGGACACCTCACTCACTCTTTGGCACAGAAGGTTTGGCCATTTGAACCCTCAAGGCTTGCTGCAAGTTCAACAGAAGGGTCTTATCACAGCCATTCCAGAACTGAAAGGGACAGTGGAAATTTGTTCCACCTGCCAGGTTGGAAAGCAGACCAGACAAGCCTTTCCTAAGCATAGTCAATGGAGGGCAACTCAGAAGCTCCAACTGATTCATGCAGATCTATGTGGTCCCATTATTCCAACCTCAAATGGAGGAAAAAGGTACATTTTTACCTTGATTGATGACTTCAGTAGGAAGCATGGGTTTTCTTTCTAGTTGTTAAGTCAGAAGCATTGGAATGGTTTAAGAAGTTTGTAGTTCAAATTGAAAAGGAAATAGGTCTATCTATTCTATGTCTTAGAACGGATAGGGGAGGAGAATTCTTATTGAGTGAATTTCAGTCCTTATGTGTTGAATCTGGCATCAAAAGGCAGTTGACAGCAGCCTTGACTCCCCAGCAGAAGGGGGTGGTTGAGAGAAAGAACAGAACTACCATGAATATGGTAAGATGCATGTTGAAAGACACTCAGGTACCTGCTGCTTTCTGGCCAAAGGCTATAAACTGGATAACTCATGTCCTGAACATATGTCCCACAGTTGCAAATACGGGAAAAACACCACAAGAGTTGTGGACTGGTGCTTCCCCATCTGTATCACATTTCAGAGTGTTTGGTTGTGTGGCATATGCACACATCCCTCATAAACTCAGGAAGAAGCTTGACGATAAGAGTATCACATGCCACTTCTAGGCATTTCTGCAGAGTCAAAGGCATACAAGCTTTACAATCCAGAAATAAAGAAAATTCTGGTGAGTAGAGATGTTGTCTTTGATGAAATTAAGGGCTGGAAGTGGAAATCCACCATCCAATCAGTCCTAACAAGTTTGATATGGGAAGGGAGTTATGATGATTATGTTGATTCTAATGGAGAGGAAGGACCTCAAGTTTCAGCACTAG